TACAAGGATATAACTCCGCCCGAAAACTGGGATACTGTATCATATCTGTTTATCTAGCATGGGGAACGGGCTTGTAAGAATTGACCTACAATAATATTCATGAATTCCAACCCTCAAGTTTTCCGTATAGATTGACCCCACGCATCGCCATTAGTAGAACTGCGGCGACGAGATTCATCTAACATACCCTTCTTGCATTATTGAACAGGGGCAGCAAACAATCAAAGAAAGTATGAGTAATGCCACATCGTATCCCATAAGTGTTCTTTTGCATGTGTATCTCCAAAGATTCAGACACACACCCTTTAGCATATCGTTATTGTATATTATTATTGAAGGAGACATAAAGATCGTTAAACTTCTTTACCAATACAACATTCACGCCTGGCTGAGCGAATATAACGAGAGAGAGCTTCATGCCGCAGCTAAATTCAACACCAAACGAGCCCTCTACATTATAACTCCATAGAATCTCCACGGGCAGGACTTAGATAAACCCAGCTTTGAAGAGAGGACGGCCCTTCACTATGCTACCGAGGGAGGGCATTTCGGCAATGTGAAGCTGCTGATTCTAGAGGGTCTGAGTGTGAACGCTTCGAGGCTTCACCATCATGCCCTCTACATTATGCAGCGAGGAGTCAAAATTCGAACACCGACTCTGTGGTGGAATATCTTGATCGAGAAAGTAGTCGACATGAACTCAGCCACTTGAGCAAGAGAGTTGCCATTCTGGTACACAGCGAATATGAAAAATGGTCTGAGTATTTTGTTGTTGCTGTGAGCTGGGTCGAATGTGCACCAGTGAAATGAACGCGATAGAACGCTCTTTCATAGAGCCAGATAGGGCTGTGACCTAAATATCTGTGGTAAAGGCCCTTGTAGATGACGGTGTAGATATCAGTGCAAGAAGTAATAGGGGTACTTTAGTTGTGTACCACGCAGCTGAAGCGGGCAAGATCGATATTGCAAAGTGGATGGTGAGTAACCGTGATTTTAGTATTGATGATGTGAATAGTTACGGCTGGACCCGTTGTTATTCGTTGCATTGAAGAATCTGGTTCTTATGGCGAGGTTTCTGGCTGGGAATGGTGCGGGTGTCGGCTTCTTCTTTGTCCAGAAACTTCATTGCTTTACACTTTGCAATAGTATATCACAAGAGGGAGGATAATGAGCTCGATGCGGGTGGACGAACCAGATATAATCCTTTCCTGGATGAGTATTCGATTCAACAAGGAGCCAACATCATGTCGTCGACGGAGGACACATCTATGAACCGAATCTATGGTGAAGACGAAAAGATGTTAGAATGGATATATGCGAACACCGATCAAGAATTTTGAGACTGGTTCAATGCATCCTTTAGATTGTTCAGTTGCATGCGATTGTATTCTAAAGACCAGGGTTCTACTGGCTGCTGGTGCGAGAAACCGAAATGGAACCGCGGCTTGAAATCGGCCGCCACAACCATCGCCCATGGCGTGGCCATTGTGTGAAAATGGGGCTGATATCCGAATCAAAGATATAATGGGGCGTAACGCGATATTTTGGATGATGTATTAGATTTGGAAGCCGAATGTTGTCAGACAGGTTCTTAAGGATGCGAAGATCTATAATTGGTCAATGGAGAATGACTTGAACTTATTGGAAGTTGCTAAGATTGTCAGGGTTATGAGAGCAGGACTACCTTTATACTTCATTTGGTTCTGGACTAGAAGGTCCCCGGTGGTGGCGGGCGTGTTATTACTGGTCAACGCGTTGAGCGCTTGACCCAGCGATATGGTATAATCGCTTTCGAATCATTTCTCGGAAATTGGTAGCTGGTCAAGAGCGCCTCGATGAACGGGAGAAGTTTTGTCCGTCGGTGATGATGACAGGAAGTGAACAATAAACGGGTAGATCCGCTGAAGAAATCAACCGCATAGCCAGTAGGGTTCAACGGATTCGACATTATACTATGATCATATCTCCATAGATAATTCATATTACTATAATGCTACTAGTATTATATACAATTCATTTAGTTAGTTAGTTAACTAATAGCGCCTGGCTTACTAAGTGATTGACTGCAAACGAAATGTAAATGGGAGCTGATGTTTGGTGTAAATTTCAAAGTTTGATCCATGTGGAAGTTGATGTTTTGAGAGTCTCGTGATGTCACTATACCAGACAAAGTTCTATAGTATACTATGCACGTCGCTGTCACAACTCTCTCCCAACCTATCGAGGTGTCATTAGGCCAACCAGATCTGACGCTTGGACTTTGGCAAACCACTGCCTATGATGATCAGTAATACGAATAGTCTAATGCGGGTTCCTTGACTTGAAAAAAGGAGGGATGTGCAAGGTGGAGATGGTAGATCCCTCGTGTCCCTAGATACTCAGCAGTTTCAAGCGCTGGTTGGGCAGGTTTTCAGCTAGCCTACGAACTGTGGGGCGTCGATCGAAACCTCAGCTCAATAATGATCGGCGTTATCACGCCTAGAAAGGGGCAGAGAACGCGAGCTTTGACGCGAGCCAGCAAGAGATCCATTAGCTCACGAAGGCGAAACTGAAACCTTATAAGGACAGATCCATCTCTCCCCAACTACGTTTTTGTATAATCTTCAAAAACCCCTTGTCGTTACGTGTTGACCATGTCCTGCCCCGAGCATAGAAAACGTGCGGAGCGTGTCATCGTCCTATGTTTCGATGGTACATCCAATACCTTCCAGGCAGATGGCACCGAAAGTAATATCTTAAAGATTTTCCGCATGCTCAAGCGAGACGATGACAACTTATGAATGTCTCTTCCCCCCTGTGCAGATGTACGGGCGTACTAACATTGAGTGCAGACTGCTACTATCAGCGTACCGCACCCCATTCTGTCGCCCTTGTAAAATATGTACTAAATCAAGAACAGCTGGTGTTGGAACCGAGATCTCTCCGACCTCTCTCAGCAGCAACCCTTTGCGACGTCGCAGTAAGCTCTTCAGCAGCAAACTTGTTGACTCGGCCTTGGCCGTCTCCTTCGACCAACATGTCCTTGGGGGGTATAGATTCCTCATGCGACATTACCGCGCCGGATCCCAGATCTATATTTTCGGGTTTTCCCGAGGAGCATACACGGCTCGCTTTTTGAACGAGATGCTGGACCACGCTGGGCTGCTGTCCGCCGATAACGAAGAGATGATTCCCTTCATCTGGGAGGCATTTTCGTCCTACAAATTGACGGTCGGAGCTACCAACTCACTCGAAAAGAAGGAGAGCGAGAAAGCCTTGAACTTTTTGAGGGCCTCCAGAGACACAGTTTGTCGCGAAGTAGATCGAGTTCACGTCCTTGGTTTATTCGATACTGTCAACAGCACAGCCGAGTTCCAGGTCAACGCAGAAGTGAAGCCGAATTCCGAAATAATCAGACATGCATTGAGTATCGACGAACGCAGGGTCAAGTTCTACCCAGTCCTAATAGAGCCCAAAAAGGAGTACCAATTCAAGCCTCATCGGCGCCTATGGCCATGGAGTTATAAAGGCTCAAAAACCTGTGGGGGTGACGGCGATCCAGGCAAGCAAGATATTCAGGAAGTGTGGTTCCCCGGCTGTCATTCAGACGTGGGCGGAGGTTGGGACTTTGCTGAAGATGAAGATTGGAGGCTGTCGCATGGGCCACTTGTTTGGATGGTGTACGAGGCTCAACACGCCGGGCTTCATTTCGATAAAGAAAAGCTCGATATACTCATGAACAGCGAGAGGCAAGTTAAGGCTGATTCTGTGAATGGAAATAGCGAAAAGCTAGCTCGGGACAGCCCTGGGGATCTTTCCAAGTCCCTTCACCTTTCGAGCACTAAAGGCGTACTGCATGATAATCTTCAAGCGGGCGAGGGCATTTCAAGCAAATCAACTCGCTTTTGGTTTCTGATGGAGCATATACCGTTTCGGCGCATGGTGCTACAGCTCGATGGCTCGTGGAAACCCACTCGGTGGCCACTACATCGGGGAAGGAGTAGAGACGTTCCGAAATATGCGCAGATCCACGTTTCTGCGATTGAACGGATGAAAGCTGACACAACCTACCGACCAATGAATATTATCCTGGAGGGTCCTGCAGATAGGAAGGGCAAAGTCTGTGCCCAGTTTGAGATCAGGGAGTGGAAAGTCTGGTGTCATAAAGGCGATCGTGTGCGAGAGGCGTATGTTCGGGAAAAGCCTAGTGTATAAGTATTTTGGAAGAGGGTCCTCTTTTGGAATATCTGTTTGCACAAAAGTGGCATTGCTCGGTTGTGAGGGACAATCAAGGATGCAGATAATGCGAAAAGCTAATTAAGACCATGGTCAGCCATTTCCTTTGCACCTATACCTTCTCCTGCCCATGTTCTCCCGATACACATTTCCGGCTGTATCAGAGCACCATTCCCTTTTCTGGATTCCTTGACGGATAGATCAGTTAGTACTAGCTTATTATCATGGGAAGATTGACCACATTGGCCATAAACAGTCAGACTGGGAAAACATAAGTCGTGCGTGGTGTTTGTACGAGGGATTTAGTGCTGTGGTCACCTTTCAGTCTAAGTCTAAACTTGGTTCCCAATGTCTGCACCAACTCTCGATCATAGCCTAAGATATCCGCCAGTCACTCCGATCTCGCGATGTCAAGAACCCTGCTGAGTCACAGCCTCACTCGGAATACGGACTCGAACTGCCGTGTTCGGTATTGACTCGGCATTGTCGGAAACACCTTATTCTAAGCGATCCACGCACCGTATCACTACAACCACGTCGTCTTCACCATGTTCTTAATCAACCCAAATAACTTCAAGTTCCTAATCGGAATTATAAGATCCCAATAGACTAGCATAACTCAAATAATCACCAACTAAACCCCAACTTCTCATTTTGCCAAAGGCATAATAACTAAACAACTAAATCACATGACCAGAACTCCCATTAATCAATCTAGATTAGATGACGCAGTAAAACTAATCCACTCACAGACCCTCAAATCAACAACGGACCTCACCCCCAAAATGACCGAATCCAACACCCCCCTGATCTTCGTGACAGGGAACAAAAACAAAGTCCTAGAAGTAAAAGCCATCCTGGGCCCTACTGCCACGCTTGAAGTCCTAGATATCAATCTCCCCGAGATCCAGGGTAGTGTGGAAGAAATTACGCGTGAGAAATGTCGCGCGGCAGCCGAGACTGTAAGATAATGGACCACTGTTTTACTGAATATTTGGATTACTCGGATCGTTTATAAAGGGATGGAGTGGGTATATGAAATAGCGGTGTTAATTGGCGTCGGGGAAATGTAGATAGGAGGGCCGGTACTGGTTGAGGATTCGGCGCTTGAGATGCGCGCGTGGGTGGGTTGCCTGGGGCTTATGTGTATGTATTTTCCCTTTACTTCCCTGTCTTTGCCCGTCTTCGTGCTTTTGGATGTAGATATTTTGTTTTCTGTATACATATGTCTAGAAGGAGAGAACTAAGGACTGATCAAACCATGTATATATAAAAGCAAAGCATTCGTCGAAACAATAGGCAACGAAGGCCTCAACAGAATCCTTTCAGCCTTTGACGATAAAACCGCCGAGGCAGTATGTACGTTCGGGTACTCTCCGGGGCCAGGGCATGAGCCTCTTTTGTTCCAAGGTCGGTTGCAGGTACGTTACTCCTATTCAACAATGTATGGAATTACTAGTATTTCGTATCTAATTTCGATTGATTAAGGGATGGATTGTTCCAGCTAGGGGCGTTTCCTCTTTTGGTAAGGGTCACTTTTCAATTGAGTAGCTTTGCTGGTGTTAACTCTGATGTTGGTAGGTTGGGAACCCATTTTTGAGGTCGAGGGGGAGGGAGTCACGTTGGCTGAGATGGAAGTTGAGAAGAAGGTAGGCTTTTCAGTTTCGATGGTATTCATGATATAGTGTAAGGAAGGGTGCTGACTGGGTAGAATGGACTTTCGCATCGGTTTAAGGCGTTGGTGAAGTTTAGGAAATGGTTGTTGGGCACTAGGGGACCTGTTTAAGGGCGTTTGGGTGATATAGATCGTTGAGTTTTTAGAATTGATAGAGAATGCATTGAGTCACCTATGTCATGCTGGTTGATATATGTTTGAGTACATGGTAGGTCGCCCGTAAATGTGGCTTTCTGAAGAGCAAGGGCGTGTTCAATGCATATGGGTTGGTATGTTATTGTATAAGTCTTATTCGGCCGATATATATCTCCCGGCTGGTAAACAAGACTACTCCAACACACTTGAACCAAATTTGGGGATCTATGAGTAACCTAACCTAATACGAGAGTGCTACCCCAAAGGTCTATACAGGCCCGCAAATGTGACCTTAGATTGAGATTAAATGATGCAATTTCAGGTGTCGCAGCCAGTCCGACCATTGCGTTATCTCCCAAGTATGAGAATAACCGGACGTGTAGCAGAACTCCGGGACGGCATTTACTAAACCTAATTGATCTACTGGCCAAAGAGACTGCTGCCCTACCCCGACCCGTGGAGTGGTGGACCCAGGATGACTCAATGAAGTTAATACAAGCCGTCTATAACTGGATAGTTCTGACATCGGCGTTGAAGGCCAGTAAGCTCGATCAAGTCGTTTCGCTTCAAGAGAGTACTTTGCTAACCTGATGGGTAATTATCGGAATGGGGAAGCCTTTTAAGGCACAACTATTCCGTAAATCCACGAAGTATATGCAAGTCTCTCAGGCCTAGAGTATACCAGTGCCGACAATCCAATCAAGCCCTTGTAGCTATAGCCTGCTAGGATTATTTGACCCTTGGGGGTCCTCGAATTGTACAACCTGGAGGGGTATAGTCGCAGTTATTCCAAAGCCGTACGCCGCCATGGGGACCAGTTGTAATGGACACGAGACTTATATCAACGCCAGCATCCTTTGGCGTCAACCGCATGGTTGAAACTCAGTTCGCTTCAACGTCTCGATAGGCTACCAAGCTTGCCATTCAACGCCAAGTTTCTCCTGCCCAGTCATTATCTCCAGCCAAGAAAGTCAAGAACGCCCAGATAGGGCTAACGGCATCACAAGCTCGCCATTGCGCCGCTCAATTCCCCATGAGGGGAAGCGAGCTCTTGGTTTAACCTAAAGGTAGGAAAAGATAAAAAGGAGGGTCACCCCCCAATCCAAGAATTACAATTCCAGCGTTGCGACCGATCGCGTCAGACTGTATCAAACGAGACACGGCAATGTTCCGGCTGTAGGAGATCGCCGCTCTCGCCAGTCGACGGAACCATGATGGCTATAGGGATGCATGGAAACGGATACGCCCTCAGCCGGAGACGAGCCTGGACAGAGCAACAAGCTCCCTGAATGGTTGTTGTCGAGGTAAGGCCACTAAACTCCAAGATGTTAGCCCCGGTGACGAATTGGGTGGGAGTGAATTGGAGAACGGGAGAGCGAAGTCGGAAGGCGCGGCCTGGGCGATAAGGCGTCAAGGCTCGAGTACTTAATCTCGTCGGCCGCTATCCTCCGATCTAGCTTGGAGGCCGACTTGTCTCTGCTAACCTTTTTTTCAATTTATTGCTCCCCTCATTTTCTTTTATTATCTTTCTTAATGGAGGGAGATATTATTGATATTAATAATGGTGTTTTAATTGTGTTCTGACTGGTTTTCATGACACAGATATGCTTTCCACTACTAACCGCCGTCCATTGTCTTTGACCCTCAGACGATGCCAAACCAACACCAACACCAAGCGAAATGAACTCGCCCTGGCGGATTAACCCGGCCGGACTCCCGATGGAACTCCGCCTCTCCTCCTTCCATTGTCGTGACTACCACCCCAGATGCCTACCACTACTAGTCGACGGCTAGCTACCCCAGCCAGGATAAGGAAATGGAATACGGCCTCAACCCCGGCTTAGAATCAGGATATTTATTACTCAACGATAGTTGGATGATTGGTCAAGTACCATGCACGACCTGCATGGCTGATGGGTCGATCGATCATTTCCCCCTCCGCCTTTCTGGGGTAGCATCGCATTGCTACGGAGTACGACTGCGGCAGAAGCAATAAACTTCGTGAACTGGGGAAAATTATTTACCGCACAGTATCTCAGCGTCCATGTGTCGCATCAACAGTGGCTATCACTTCCCATCCGGGTATTTCGACGACCTTCAAATGGGTCCACCACCGGACCTCACGCGGGGTGAACCGCCGACAATGGGATGGTTTGAACTTTTGAAGTCGCTGATAAGTCCTAGCACCTGGTCTGTCGTGCTTACGAATAAGCTGTGTCGTGCTTATCTGCCAATCTGAACGGCAAATCGACTCTGGTGAACTCCCCAGGATGGGTTTATGTTACCTAACAAAATTTCCGAATTCGGGTATACCGGTGGCGTTTGACGATTGTTAATTGAAGGCGCTTCATCAAACTAGACTAGGGCGCGTGCCGCAACCGAGGGAGGAGCTGATCAAAGACATTCTGTTGACCGACGTTGTTCGCCCCCAGTGTGGGTGCTGATAAGGGGAAAAAAACCTTGCATCATGCATTTTGTGTGCGATCACCAAAGGGGGCAAAAAGACAAAATTTAAAAATTCTTCCGCTGAGTCGAGAACATGACACGACCAATGCCAACAGATTTTTTTATTTGGTTTTATTTACTTTTTTACTTTTTTCTTTTTACTCTTGCCATCTTTGAATAGGAATTTTTTTCGACAAGGCGGCAAACTCCGACTGGTCAGTGATCTCGTGCCGGGCTTCGAGAATCCGCGCCAGAGCCAATCACAAGAGTTTCCGGCGTTCTCGACGGATGCTTAACCGTTCTTGTCATCTCTTGTCATATCTTCGCATCTCTTGTTTGGGGTTACATCCGAGGGCACGCTAACCCTTCCCCATCGTGCCCTCCATTGGTTTCTCGCCGTAATTTTGCCGGCGATGGAGCCTCCCAGCTTTTCGTTGATCGCATAGGTCGCTTCGAATGATAAGACGGTCCCGCATCGGATCCCAGACCAGGCTTTCCCACTAGGAACAGGAATATAAGGTGGCTCTCATTTCCTTCCTGAGTTCTTGACCTCGTGCGCAACCGTTGAGACGAATTTCTGTCCCGCAAAGCTATCCCCTCTGGTTTCTGGGGATATTTTTTCGCCTGGTCCTCTTCACAATGTCTTCAGATCGTGAGGTTGAGTTGTCTCAGTAAGTGTCTTCTTCTATTTCTTTAGTTCTTCCTGCACTCGTCTTTGTTCTCTACTACATGTCTTCGTTCACGACTAACCTCTATGCAGACAACAGGCCCATTACAATGCCACGGATGTAATCGATGAAAAGGACGTCCTTGAGGCGAACGAGAAGGCTCTGGGACCTACCCCGGATGGCGAAGAGCCCACTCAGGATGAAATCAAGGGCTTGCGCCATATTGCGGAGAACTTGCCCGTCTCTGCCTGGCTGGTCGCTATTGTAGAACTTTGCGAACGTTTCACATACTACGGTATGAGCGGTTTGTTCCAGAACTACGCGAACCTTCCTCTGGATGGTAGTCAAGGACGTGGTGCTCTGGGCCTCGGTCATCAGGGTGCCACTGGTCTTACCACCTTCAACCAGTTCTGGTGCTACGTTACTCCCATTGTTGGTGCTATTGTTGCCGATCAGTACCTCGGAAAATACAAGACCATCGTTGTCTTCTCCATTATCTATATGATTGGTTTGCTCATCCTGGTTTGCACTTCGATTCCCTCGTCTCTTGAACACGGTGCTGGTTTGGGAGGCTTCATCGTCGCCATCCTGATCGTCGGTCTGGGAACTGGTGGTATTAAGAGTAACGTGGCTCCTCTGGTATGTAATCACCGACGATGCTTGGATACGAATTCATGCTAATATCCACGTAGATTGCCGACCAATACAAGCGGAAGAAGATGGCTATCAAGACCATCGCCAAGACTGGCGAGCGGGTGGTCATCGATCCTGCCTTGACTATTCAACGTATCTACATGATCTTCTACGGCTGCATCAACATTGGATCTCTCTCGTTGCTGGCTACTCCCTACATGGAGAGAGATATCGGCTACTGGTCTGGTTATCTGCTTTGTCTGTGCATGTTCGCCTGCGGTTCCTGTGTGCTTATCGTTGGACGCAAGTTCTACGTCGTCCGTCCTCCCCAGGGTTCTATCATCACCAACGCCTTCAAGGCGCTGTGGATTATGGTCATCAATCGTAATATGGACGCGCCCAAGCCCACCTGGCAGGCCGAGCACGGTGGCAGCAACCCAAGGACTAACTTGCCTTGGGACGATCACTTCATCGACGAGCTTAAGCGTGCCCTGGTTGCCTGCAAAGTCTTCGCCTTCTACCCCATCTACTGGGTCGTCTACGGTCAGTTCTCAGGTAACTTTGTCACTCAGGCCGATCAGATGGAGGGTCATGGCGTTCCCAACGACTTGATGCAGAACTTCGACCCTATCTCCATTATCGTCTTCATCCCGGTTCTGGAACTTACGGTCTACCCCTTGCTCCGTCGTTGTCGCATCCAGTTCCGCCCTATTACCCGTATCGCCTTGGGTTTCATCGTCGCCTCTTTGGCTATGATGTACGCCGCTATTGTTCAGCATCTCATTTACTCCGCCGGACCCTGCTACGAGCACCCTGGCTGTGATGCCTCCATCGTTAACGGACAGACCACTGGTAACCGCGTGCATATTGCCATCCAGACCCCTGCCTACGTGTTCATCGGTCTCTCCGAGATTTTCGCGTCGGTGTCCGGTCTTGAGTACGCTTACACCAAGGCGCCCCCAACTATGAAGTCCTTCGTGCAGTCCATGTACCTCCTCACCAATGCTTTCGGTGCCGCCATTGCCGAGGCCCTTACTCCTGCTGCTTACGATCCCGCCATCTTGTGGATGTTCGTCGGTCTTGCCGTTGCTTCATTCCTTGCCGGTATCATCTTCTTCATCGTGTACCGCCATCTGAACTACTCCGAAGACGAGATGAACGCCCTCGACGCCGATGATGACGTTGTAGCTGCGGTTCAGCAGGCGGAGGGCGAGAAGAAGAAGGAGGAGAACTACTAATCTCGTTTTGTACTATAATTTTCCTTTCTCGATTTTTTTTTTTACATACATAGATACTAATCTCTCGTTCCTGACCCGTGGTCGGACATGCTTGATCTCGCGCGGGCTCGCGCAATAGCACCTGCAGAGCAGATGAGACGAGTAAGACGAGATAATGTATATACGAATCACGTTCGATCACGTTGAATCAATGAACACTTGACTCATTCCAAGAATTTGCCTCTCTCGCATCCCAATGACTCAGAGTAGAACCAGAACCAAAACCACATGAGTTCCGTCCCAAACCAAAGTCTTGATCCCGGAGCTGGTCCGATGGAGTGTGTCTCACCATGTGGACCCGCACATGTTCAAATTAAACAGACCCCGAAACGGATTAAACCAGATTAACGTGGGTGGGACCACCACGTTTTTGATGACAAGATTCCATCACAAATCCTCGTTATCTGTTAATGCACATGAGACATCTATTAAACTCAAAGTACAAAGTACTTTTGTACCCCATATCGCTCACATGACAAAATGTTCTAGTATACAATGTACATCTGTTGTACCACCTCAGCAGCTCCGAGCCGCATAAAGCAAGGAGACTAAATTAAACACCTCGCATATACACAGTAGTCCACCACCAGAATGCAAGAATCATACCATTACCTCCCCCAAGACTCTTATGAAAACCCACTCTATACCACACCATGTCGCCTAAACTGCAATCTCCCACAAAAAAAAAAAAGGAATGGCTGGTAAATAGAGCCCAGGAACTCGGAGTTCCGCCCATCCTCCGAAAACGATGACAAACATAAACATCTGATTGCCGGAGCTCCGTCCTCCGATTCCCATTGGCTCCTGGGGATTACCTGCTCCACCTCGCACAAATTAAGCTTAGTTTGGCCCTAGCATTAGTCCGCATTAGGTAGACTCGGGCGGGTGGGGATTTGTGTCGGGCTGTCTTCTCTCTTTATTTTTATTTTTATTTTTTTTTAAGTTGATTCTTTTGGGATGTTCGGTGGGTGGTTCCTGGTACCTTGCTTTAGGTTAGACGGTTGGATTAGTGATCTGGTTTGGGGGGGTTTTTATTGGTTGGGTGTTGTGTGGATTGGATTGGTTATGGGAATGGGTTGGTTGGTAAAGGTTTGAGGTTGATAAGTGAGTTTTCTGGATTGTGTATAGTACGGACTAGGGAACATTGTATATTGTGTGGTGGATTAGTGGGAGACAGGTACAAGTAGGTATAATATGAAAGCTGACGAATGTACGGTCTGTTTTGATGGTGAATTACAGATAAATTGACGGGTTCGGCATGCCTATTCTATGATCAGCACTCCCCTTTAGGAACAAGGCAGTAGTTAACGGATATGTATCAACTGGTTTCTTGACGACGCTTTCTTGACATAAGGGACGACCTTTATCTTCGTCTGTGTTTTGTGCGGTGCCGAATGGTGACTTCGATGGTTATCAATGGTGGATGGAGAGGGATGGAGACCCATAGGTTGAAAATCAAGAGGCCAAGAACGCGGATATATTTGTATATTCTTTATTGTTGATCCCAGGGGCTGTATTGAATGTTTACTCTGGTAGAAAGCCTGCCGGATATCCTTAGTTGGACGCCTACCAAGCTGGATTGCAGGTTGGAGACAAAATCAGACGTCACTCGTTGAGGGATAGAGACAAATATATGGATAGACGCGCACCGTGATAAATGCTGGGACGTGTATTGCTTATATTAGTTTTCTTGTCTAGTTAAATTTATATCAGGCTTGGGGTATTCCTTGATTCGTGCTTACGCAACGGCCATCGTCATATCGGTTAGGGTGGCTCTCCAGGGGCCATGTAATTCAGACACGACGATCCCATCCAGTAATAAGAGGGAGTCGGAGCCATACTTGCTTCGACATTCTCCAAAATACCTCGACACTTGTCATCGGGCCAGTCAAGGAGAACACTTCGAAAGTGGTATCCCCGAGCCTGATGACGGGTTGCAGAGTGAACACATCGTACGCTTTGATCTCAATTCGCTCAAAGTCAGGGAGCGGATTTTGTCTAACCTCCTCCAACTTGGGGCAGATCTTGAATAACGACCGTCCTGGCAGGATAGAATACCGTTGTCTGAGAGCAATGCTCTGACGGCCCTTTGGTCCATCGATGTCAATAAAGAGCACGGTTGGCTGAATAGTACGGGTGGCTTTGGAGCCACTGGAAGAGATTCCGATTGATTACGAATGCCTAAATGGAGGGTCGTTTGGTTCAGGTTGTTTGGCTTGAGATAGCCAGTGTTGCGTAGAAACTCGGGGAATGCTAACATGGCACAAGCTAGCACATCACCTCTTTGTCTTGTGAGTTTACGGATCATGATATTCTAGCAAGGGACATAAATACTGCATTTATACATCAGACCTCCCTGTTGGCGAAGCGAGAGCTCGGGCCACATTGTTCGTGGCAAATGCATCGGTGTCTAGTTGCACGATCATTCGATGGGACTGATAGTATCGTAACAGCCTTTCTAAGTGATTAGCCTGGCTCAGTTGCAGTGATTATGAGTGACGGAAAACACCAGCTCATCAAAAACGATTCCATATGAGTTTCCCTGGCCAGCTGGTCGTGTGACGTGGTGGTTCCTTGACAAAGGGTCTCAAAGTGACGACAATCGACATCAACATAGACCAGGACAAGTTGCAACGGTGACAGGCCTGTCTCTCAATGATTCTATATCCCGGTGTGTTGCTGAGTACCTACTGCATATGTCATTTGATGGGTGCTATCCATCTCCACCACCATGGCTTGACTGAGGTTTTCACAGCCGACATCGCTCCACGATGCTAAGACTAGATGGAGCGCGTGAGAACCTTTCAATATGTTCAACTAGCTCACTAGGATCCATGACCGTAGTATTCTTTATGAAGTCACCATATAATTTAACCATTAAGCCATCTAGGGCGATTCTCTCAGCTCCCTTTTCTCGAGGATCATGTCACGGCGGTGGTTAGGGCCTGAACGCACTCGGGTCTTAACTTGGCTCCATTTTCGGGGCTTAGCTTCGCCCTCTAATAGTTCCATTGACCAGGATGGAAGATGCACAAAGAACTAACCCTGATAGCGTGGGCTGGAGATAATCGTAATCCGACCTAAATTCCGTTTTAACCCCGCCCTAAATCATTTATATGATAGAAGTCACTGCGCTGGGGGGTATTAAGGTTGGAAATGTAAAATACCAAAACTTCATCCTGAGAGCAATAGATAACAATTACCCCTATGTATATGGCTGCCTTAAAACCCCTCCCTCCCACAGGCTTCGGTCTGCTAGGAATGACCTGGCGTCCTTTGAAGACCCCTGGTGAGCAAGCCTTTGCAGCCATGAAGGCTGCCATCGCTGGGGGTGCAACTCTTTGGTCCAGCTCCTCGATCTATGGGATGTCCCCCGAACCCCCTACTGCTGGCCTATGGCTGCTGCGGCGCTGCTTTGAGAAGTACCCGGAGGATGAGCCCAAAGTGACCCTCTTCATGCATGCCTGCTTCGACGCCACCGCCGAGGAACACGTGGGAAAGGGTAAGGTTGAGCGTCATTGAGTGCAATGAGATCCTAGGGGGTGTAAAGAAGATAGACATCTTCGGGCCCACCCGTATGGACCGGAATATCCCTTTGGAGGAGACCGTGGGGGCCTTCAAAGAACTGGTGGACGAGGGCCAAATTGGGTTTGTGGGTTGATCGGAGGTCGGAGCCACCACCATCAGCCGAGCAGCAGTGGTGTGTCATATTACTGTTGTGGAGATTGAGTTCTCTCTGTGGAGTATAGAGATTCTCACTAACGGGGTGGCAGAGGCCTGTAAGGAGCATGGTGCAGTTTTACATAGGAGCTACATTCATACATTGGTGTACTAGAGACTTGATACATTTCTTCTAGCTCGTTTCTATATGAGAAATACTTTTAGATATTCAGCCTATATCCCCCGCTGCCTACTAGAATTTTGCTGGGTAGAGCGTGGTGATATTCCTTACAAGGCCCTGGATGCGGTGGCCATACCCTTCATAGGTGAGGCTATACCGCCCCCCATATCCGGGAAACCTGCAGCAAAAGCAAAGCAACCATATGTAGCAAGAAAAGCCATATGGGGACGAGCTTCCTGATGACATCCTCAAATTTCTGAGAGAGGAAAGAAAGGCAACCAGAAAACGGAGTGGTTGAAATGGCTAGGAACGCGGATGTCAGTAGTAGAACTTGTGCCTTGACAGGTCAGTGGTGCGAGAGGTGGAGGATATTCAACGTGGTTGGTGGTCAGGGGAACCGCATTGGACGATCCGGTGATCACTGCCTAATACTAGTACTAAAGCCAGCGATCAACTACCCTAAGATAATGTGGGCTTGAAGCCATGAGCGGTGGCTTACACAGGATTATGGAGCATGAAAGGATGATACATTAGGACTGATCCATTTCAGCCTATTTGACTAATCATGGAGCCTGTTGACGATCAATACCTCGACAGATTGTTCTAGGCAACTTGATGTTGTCGGTTTCTACCTTAAGTATTCGATATCGTTTCCAAGTTCGGGTTCGGGTTCGGCTACTAGGCAGTTGCGGTCTATCAATTCTGTCGCGGAGTTCTGCAGCAGACACCCCAATGTGGTGCTTGGTACGAGTACGAGCGTTTGATCGACAGTGTGGGTCTCGCTTCGATATTGAAACCAACCTATTTGTTGATTGAGCCACTCCAACTTTACTTTGCAACGACCATTCCAATATACACCATGGCATGTGCAATAAGCCGGCTATCATTGGCGCAGAAGCTCATTAGTTCAGCAGATCATGACGATCTCAAGCATTATAAGACTCTAATCATGAGAGGAGGGCCGAGGCGGAGCAACCCAAGAAAATCCGGGGCAGTGTTGAAATTGAGGATGCCTATTCCTTAACCAGTCAGTGGATGGGTTAGAAGACTCACAAGTAGGCTTTATGTACGAGTACGAGTTGTGAGGAGATCCACAATTGCATACGACCGGAATGGTATCAGCCAGTGATATCAAGCCTACAAATAAAACAATCCTCAGTGGCTAGTGTCTCGCCAGGTCTTAGCTTACCTGGCATGAAATTGACGGTGACATTATAAGTTTGATATATGGAGCATAACTTGCTTGTGTCATGGAAAATGCTGTCTGTGCCGCCACTAGATCTTATAAATACCTTTCTGCCTTCCGATAGAGTGGCAGAGAACTGTATCCCCTGACCCAATTCATCTTGTACTAGCCGTCTTATACCTACGCGAACGAAAGCTCGAACATGAGGCTCTCTGTTATCTCTACTACATTGACATTGGCTCTGGCCTCTGCCAACCCTCACTATGGGCAATGGAAGCCCGCTGGGGCAAATGACTGTACGATGGGAGGTGTCCAAACTCTTCTTTGTGTAGTTGCTGACATGATTCAGTTCGAGGTCCTTGTCCCATGATGAACACCCTAGCAAATCATGGCTTCCTTCCCCACGACGGCAGAAACATCACACGAAACACTATCATTGAAGGACTATCGGCGGCCCTCAACTTCAACGCCTCACTCGCGAGCCTGATGTTTGACATGGCTATTGTTGTTAACCCCGAGCCCAACGCTACATTCTTTACTCTGTACGACACCCTAAAACTCCCATAAGGTTTGCCAAAACCGGTCAATCCTAACACATATACAGTGATCAACTCAACCAACACAACCTCTTAGAACATGATGCAAGTTTGAGGTAAGTTCGCATGTCCTCCTGGATTCGTCCCGTCAAAACTTTGCAACCCATTGCACCAACATACCAAAAGCTAACTCTTAATAGTCGGACTGACGCCTACTTCGGCAATAACCACGTTTTCAACGAGACAGTCTTCGAAGAAACAAAGAAGTATTGGACTGGACCCACCCTGGACGCCAATATGTTAGCCAACAGCAAGTTGGCTCGCCAGATCAGCTCTAAAGCATACAATCCCACCTATACATTCACGTCGTCGATGGAACAATTCAGTCTCGGGGAAGTTGCTGCTCCCATTATCGCATTCGGCGATATCCAAAATGGAAAGGTCAACAGAACTCTGGTGGAATATTTCTTCGGTAAGTTCATCATGTCAGTGCCGTCAGTCGCCTTTCTAATGTTGACTCGTAGAAAATGAACGTCTCCCGACTGAATTAGGATGGTCCCGACGGGAGGAAGTTGTTGGCTTGGTGGACATCACGGGCGTGACCCAGATGATTGGAAATGCTACCAATCTTATCACTCCCTCTAAGGAGTCTCGTGCGAGAAGACGCCGAGACTTGCATTCTGGTCTTGGCTTGTAAATGGAATTGTTCCTGCGATGGACAAAGGATGGCAATTTAGTGTATATAGGTCTGCTTCCTGGAGGACTGCGATAGATGGGTGAATTGGGATACATTCTACTGGCCCCCCCCGATGAAAAATGGCAACACATTGATATATTACTCTATTTGATTATCCTTTGCACGTTGCGCACCGTGCAGTAATGCGTATATGTACTATAAACTACCTGATACATACATGATGTGTACCATAAGTAAGTTGTGATACCGAGCAGCGTCACGGGTTTCGCAGCATGGAGGCCACTTTATAGCACTGAAGTGGGGTCCTCCGCCTATTTTTTATACGCAGTACGAGCATTCTTTGGATTTTTACTCGACTAAACCATGCTGATCCCGACGATCCTTATACACGATTGCACTAGCGGATACAAATACGATTCGCATAATCTAAACTGTAGACAAACCCCTTTTTCTAAAAATACCTCATTCTGGATCTCAAGAGTCAGCATATCATCACGCGAAGACCCCTGGGAAATCCGATCGCAAAGCGTACTACTCACACAATTTCTCAACAGACTGTGCAATCCTGGACCCGAAGATGTCTATTTTCGGCTTATCAGCAGTCTCACCAGAAATTATCCTAGAGATTTGTAAGCATCTGGAGAGCCCCAAAGACCGTTTGAATTTGGTATGCTGTTCGCAACTTTTTTATGACTTGTGTCTGCCGTTGCTCTACAAGAAATTACGGACTGGCGACAAGGATCTTGTTCCAATTGCTCGAGTTGTCCGTACTCTTGTTGAGAAACCGGCTCTTGCAGCGCGAGTTCATATTTTACATCTTTTTGATTGGGAGACATATATCGGATTCAATTTTGCGGAATTTGACGAGGCGCTCAAAGCGTTTAAGGAGGAGTGTGCTATGGAAAGAGAACAGGAAGATACTAGTGAGGAGGAGGCCAACGAAGGTGATGCGGATGAACACGATGCGGATGAACACGATGCGGATGAACACGATGCGGATGAACATGATGTGGATGACGATGATTGTGACAATGATAAGGATGATGAAGATTACGGAGATAATGGCGATAATGCCTCGGATAACGGCAGTATCTACTTGAAAACATTCGACTATGGTCCGCTACGTGAACAGGCAAAGCTTGTGACCCGTTCTGAGGATGAGACAGACTACTGGATGGATGAAATTGCCATCGGAAATGCCGATGCATGGGTTGCAATGCTTCTAACTCTTCTGCCGAATCTCCAGCGGCTTGAGATAGAATTCCCCTACGGGTCATTATGGGTTCGCTGGGTGCTGAAATGGGCAATAGCTGGACGTCTAGATTCTATGCCGGCTTTCAAATCACTTTCTGAGGTTTATGTCGACTGGGATAGCGAAAAAGTGAAAGCGTGTTCTAGGAACATAATGCCATTCTTTCTGCTGCCCTCGATGCGCCGGTTTTACGCCAGTAAGCTTTTTGATAGGCTTGGAATGTTTGAAGAAGCATGGGCGGATGATGATGATTTAACTGGGGTTGCTCAATTTTCTCCTGTTACACATATTGAAATTGATGAGAGCGATGGGAAATGGGAGATGTGGAAAGTGGTGGCTATCTGCAAGAATCTCCAGTCCTTCAAATACAACCACAGTGGCTGCGTGGGATTCGATCCAGGTGCTTTCTATAAAGAGCTTTTCCCACTGAGAGAGACTCTTGAGACAATATGGCTTGATATAAAGGAGGGTTCTCGTGGAGATTGCATGGAGGATTTGCACCATTGCAACGATCCACTCCCTTCCTTTAAGGATTTCATATCCTTGAAAACACTCCACCTCCGAATGAAGAACTTGCCAGGATTGAACGTCCAATCTGGGGGTAACCATGCTAGCATGCCATTTGCTGGAGCCCTTCCATCTTCACTTGAGACTTTACAAATTGCCGATATCGGAAACTTGGCTAACCTTCAGATACTTGTCCAGAAGCTACAGGATCATCTTGAACATGATTTGGATTCCACTCCAGCATTGAGAGAGATTGCTATTGAAACTTTGCTAAATTCACCGAAAATTCCAAAACTACTTTTGGATTTGGACAGAGCCTGTACAAAGGTGAATATCAAATTCTATGTGTGTGACACTCATGACGGGCGAGCCAAGTGGAGGGCTGATGGATTCACACCGTGTGTTTTGTGAGATTGATACTCTATTCTCTACTTATGGAATTCATATGTGATGCATGAAACAAAGGAGTAATGATATATTCCTATCAGTACGCAGCTTTCCCTATTCAATGGGACTTAAATCAGCAGATGAAAAGCATAATGTTATGACTTAATTAGTACTCTTTGTAATTGATATCTCGACTTGTTCATAATAATCAGATCGAACGGACTAAAGAGCCCCGTTATAACCAACACAGTAATTAGAGTTGACTTCCAAATCGTGAGCACAAAGTACACCGATCAATCAAGCACATGCCTCTAAATCCGTCATATACCTGTCCGCAAACTCCTCGAATGTAGTCAACCGCCCCTTGACGATGCTCCTTGTCCTCTCAACCAACTCCCCAGTTCCAGGCCCGAAATATCCGACTTCCTCAAAGAACCTCATCATAGATACAACTCTAAACCCCCGGTCACGCTCCATGAAACCAGCATACACATCGTCCGGAACCCGCACATACCGAATCACCTTCCCCGACGCCGCCGAAATAATCCCCACGATCTCAGAAAAGCTATATAGCCCCGTCGCAGCATAAAGCGTAGTGTCCCCCACACCCTCCCCATCCCTCAACAGGGCAGCAACATACGTCCCCGAGTCATTCGCTGCATCAATAAGCGGGACCTTCGTGTCCGGGCCCAGCACACCGGCAACGCTGTACGTGCCGTCCGTCCCCAGCCGCGGCGCCATCATAGTAGTCATATTCTGCATGAACATGCCCGGCGCAAATGATGATACTTTAATCGGTAGCGTACGCAGATACGCCTCGGCCTCGGCCTTGGAGTCGAAGACGTCCATGGCGCGACCACTCCAGAGTTTCGATGCGTGCACGGCCGTGCTGAAAATGATGCGCGTAGCGCCTGCCGCAACGGCTGCATCGCCGACGTTCTTCGTTTGGCTGTATTCGCGGCTTTTGAGCTGCTCGTCGTAGATGGTGGTGGTAATTAGGATCACAGTGTGCGCGTGTGCTAGCGCTCTGGGGAGAGAGGCTGGGTCATCTATGTCGGCTTGGATGGTCTCGGTGCCTTGGCTGGAGATCTCTTTTGCTGCCCTTTGGCTTACATCGCGTGTGATTGCCCGGATGGAGTATTGTTTTGAGAGTGTGGGATCGTGGTGGATCGTTTCGAGGATCGAGCGGCCTTGTTGGCCTGTTGCCCCGAAGATGACCAGCTTGGACATCGTTGGTAATGGTAATTGGGGCTCTGTTTTGCGTGTGTTTTGATGTACATTCTTGAGCCTCGTATCATTCATTTATAGTTCGTGCTGGATGAGTGTGATGTAATAATGACCGGTCGGTCTCCTTGGACTCGGGGATAATTCTCAGAGATCTTTTTAAGTCCGGGAGCCGGGGCTGGCTGGCACCGGATATAGTGTCGATGACCGAATTAAGTATTTTTTCGCATTTACTTTTCTGTATTAACGATTGTATATTTGTATAGTTGAGATATCCCTTGTTAGATTGTTATATCGCGCTGCTGGGGCGTTGGGTTGGGTTCGTAGGCAGTATAGAAAGTGTCCCAACTCTCTAGTCGAACCAACCACCCCCCGTATTTGACTGGGAGAATTTAGCCCCTTATACTAACATAGCACCGTCTCTTTAAAGTCTAGAATAGAAACGGGATAGATAAAAGGACAAGATACGAAGAGATACTCTCGTATCCAGTCGATTACATTAATGTATTTGATAGAAAAGATGAGAAGTCGAGAAGTATCAATGGCGAATCGCTCTACCAGGTACTGTAAACAAGAGAGTTCCTTCGAAAGAATTATCTTCTCGCAAGCATGATGTTACTTGTTCTTCAAAGGTGGAAACATGCGCTCTGGATGGATTTCTATATCACTGGGGATGCTCTATCGACGATGGAGATAAAGTACCGTAATCTCAACTCCTATGCTAGACTAGATGGCTCCATATAGCAGATTTACGGTGTCTCGCCCACTATGATTAATAAACACGATAAAGATCCTTCTTAGGGCATAGGAGTTGGGTGAGCTTTAGTGATGTATAATATCACTTAGCTATAGTATCGTGTTCACTGCCCCATGTCACCAATGACCATGGCTCTCTGCGCTCCCTCTTTTTCCTCTTCTGTGGATGGTATTTACATAGCAAGCCGGGCTACAGATGCCAGAGGCATAAAACGAACCATACAGATAAACATTGCTTTACGAGCACATATGATCTAACGCAACCTAGCCATGAATGACGTATGTCTGTAGTTCATGCATATTTCCCTCTCTATGATTAGGCCGACTATAGGATAAATTCCGCATGATCCCTGCTAATACAGCTAAGATGTATTGGAGTTTGGACCGATCTTAGCGAGAAAGCCTTGCACACCCCAACCCTAGACCTTACGCGATTGTTCAATAAAAAGGCTGGCGTGGGAAGATTTGATTATGTTACACGATCGACTGTGTATACTCAGTAGGTTTCAAAGAGAACAAGGGCTTGTTGTGGAAGACTGTAGAGGTATTTTTTAGGGATACATGTTGGTGGTGGCTGTTCGCATAATACCAACCCAAGGTGAATACCATACAAGAATACCTAGCTTGAAGGGATTATATTTATGATAATAGCCGTGAGATATAGAACGGAGATCAGAAAATGAGACAGTTTCGCTCGTCGTGCTCTCTTCTGAGGTATGGGTATGCCGACTATGCTAGATCAATGCTTAACTGTCCTCGTAAGTAACAAAAGCCGTCCAGAAATACCACAAAATCTATTAAAAGCCCAAAGAAATAGCGGTGAAGACTGACAGCGGTTAGATAATTGAAGAATGCCAGAGGTATTAAGCTAGTAGACGAAATCTATCCGTCTGTGTTGGTGGCTGCCAAGAATGGATACGGGTGAAGGCGTTCCTACTTCTGCTAAGAGACACGACAGGTGGCGGCTGCTGTGTAAGATGAGGTGTGAATATGTGCTGAGACCTGTGGTGTATGTGACATCGGGGGAGGCAGTGGCGGTTCTCTCTCGGGAACCTGCCTGTGTTTTGTTTCTTTTGTCCACTTGCCGTTTCCTTTTTCTAGGGACCAGCCAGTCGGGACTGAATAGAAACGTGATGATGATGAGATGGTTTATTTTTCCGGATCTTGAGCATCGGTCCAAAGGGACTTATCGCGGTGCTGATGCCAGTAAGGATGTTTATGAAACCTTTAAGCTCCGGATCCAACTGTCTACATGGAAGCGAGAATGAGGCACAACACACGCGATACCAGTAATTAGGGTATCACTTTGGGTAGACTATACAGTCTGATGATGAAAGTATTCCAAAACAACTTACCATTAATCAAAAAGTACAGCAAGTGAGACAATGCGGGGGATACGAGGACTAGCCTGGCTGTGGCGGGGTGTGCCGTTTGGTGTGTCACCGGAATCTGTATCCTTCAATGCAAGAGATGCAACCCAGAATACATGGGCTCACGTGGTTTAACGTCACAGTTCCTTGGGTGTCCATTTCATTTGCACGCCTTTCTGCCTGAGAAGCTAATCTTCTCAGCCAGATTCATGTCCACCATTTCCCGCTCTCAAGGTCTATCGCTGTTAAGTTTGAATACTATCAGTGTCATGATGCAGTGACAGCACGACTCTATCGAGACCAACCTTACTCTCATGCCGGACGGCTTTCAATGTCCATCAAAAATAAACTATGGTCTAGTCGTCAAGCTTGACAAGCCTACCCCGGATCAGATGATGTACTGCGCCCCACATCGCTTTCGTCTGACAGCAACGCCTTAGTATATCGACAAATCAGTCGCTGAAAGGATGTCGAGACCCACCTGTTCACCCGTGGTCTTTCATCTAGATGCTCCGTATATGGAACGCCTAAAGTTACGGTTCTACCATAGTATATTCACCGAGCTAGCAACATAGCCCTACCGATACGAACTCCATCGGTAACCTTTTCCTGCTTGGATCTCAAAGAGTTTCTGCATTTCGCCGCTTCCGAGATGTGTCATACTACGGTTTCATTATACAGGATATGCTTGACTGCAGGTTCTGGTGATGGATTTCTCGATTCCTGTACAGCCTCTGGAACCTAAGCTCCAGTTCCGGTGTCTTCCAATTGGAACATGCCAACTTCTAAGAGAGGCGCTGTCTCACTCTGAGAGACAAAGCCAATCAAGCATATTCCCATTACGAGGACTGTTAAACTGGGTATAGGCTCAGGACTAGGCCATCATCATAGAGGGCCTGAGAACGGTATAGCCGGAAGCTGGAAGAGCCGTCTACACCGATCATGGTCCAACAACATCCTGATAGAACGTGAAGGGAAAGGTATAAATTCAACGTGTTGTCCGCCGTTCTCATACCCTTCATCATCACATCAATCACAAGTTTCCCATCCAGACAAAGCCTCAAACTATCAGAATTTCCTCATCTATCTACTTACAACCATCCATCTCCCATTAACTCACTATCAAAATGAAGACCACATTCGCCGTCATCATCTCCGTCCTCACGGCCTCTATCTCGGCCGTTCCTCTTGAGGCCCGTCAGTCCAACGACGTGACTCTAGCCCTGTCTAACGACCAGAGTGGTGCCTATGCTGGCGTGAAGTTCTCCGCTGACGGAACCGACAAGAGCATCAAAGCCCTCTACGGCGGCACCTCCGTGGGAGCGAGCGGCTCCGTTCTCGCTTCTTCTGCTCAGCTGGCAGCATTCCCTCAGACAGTCCACTGCGTTATTAAGAACAATGGTGCCGTCATTGCGACTCTCAATGCCCAGCAAACCTTTGCTGATTTGGACGGAAACCCCGGTGCCGCTACTCCTGTCAACCTGGACAACGGTATTGTCAACTGCAGTGCTTGATGGGATTTTAGCAGAACTATCCATTTTTATACGAAGTTATGGCCGTTAGATTGATTGAGTGTAAATGAAGGGAGTTCATGATTGGTGATTTGTATTGAGCTTAAAGATTGATATTCATATGCCAGAGGGCGGGTTTAAGGTGCAAGAGTTTGGTTTCTGATAGTCAATAGCAAGACAATATATGTGCACACTAATAGAAACCTGATTTCGCTGCTGAGCCTTCCTTCCATATGTTATCCCGGATGTAGTTGCTAATGGAGAATCACATCCGTAGAATATACCGGTTTATACCTCGTGATAGAGTAATTAAGGGTAAAAACAATAATTAGGCCATATTGAGATTCTCGCCACCTCGTAAACCCTTGAGCAACACTTCCAGAGAAATGCACTTTTCAACTTTCTAATCTAGCTTAATCTTTTTTCCCTCCCTAGCACAAATTGTCCGTACATACTCCTAATAAATCTTCGCATCCCCGACGCCATAAACAAACTGTACAAGACAAATCCCCCAAGACTCAAATAAGAACAGCTCGACAGCATGGAATAAAAGATACAGTTCCGGGATAGAGGCTCCGAAGTCTCGTGATAGCTGTTGGCGACAGGCTCCAGGTGGTGGGCCGTAAGATATGCAAGGGGATTGGATGGTTACAATCAAGCTTTGTCATATTATGAAAATCAGCATGCATCTACCAGTAATGACATTGCCTTGTGGATATCTATGGGAAGATATGAATTGTGCTGCCTGCTGCCTACGTGCCATTGGTAATGCCAAACTTAATTAATTTATACACAGATTGTCACTTCGGCCAGTTATGATCAGAAATCCCTAGAAACCATGGATAACCATGGATAACCAACATTGCTACTAGAAATATATTGTTGTATTTGAGAGATACGCGGACCAGGCGGATCCCTACTTTATTTGTGGTTCAAGTTTGTATGCTGTTTAATTTTCTAGAGATGTTTTTTATTATATATATTTACTATATGCCCTGTATCAAACGTGAAGAGCAAGTCTGGTATGTTAAGATTATGCCAAACCATGCATCATTCTGAAGCAGGTCATTATCACCTTTGAATATAGTAGGTAGCACGGTATCTCACATATATTATTCAAGATACACAATACTTTGCCAGAAGAATAGAGTTTCGTGAATTTATCGGCTGATCACGATTATGATATCATTGTCGGGATTACCTTTTTTGGTCTTATTTACATGTTTGCCTATTTATTGGAGCCGTGGCAGATGATCGTGGAGGCGAAAGTGAAGATGTCTTAGCCATGCAAGAAGGTGGACGAACCGGCAGTTGAAGGATGGGGATTGTTGCTAAATATAATTTGTTTGGATGGATACGTTGGACCAGTAAGATGGGAGAAAAAACCGTTAAGGGTCCTCGGTGGGGTTCCTATTTTTGTTCTTGCGAGATTCTCTAAATAAAGTATGCAAGGGTCCTCTGAATTTGCTACGGCTGCTTATATGCATTAACTAAGAGATCTTACGAAAAAAAGACATTAACAAGATAAAGTGTTATCAAAAATAATTATGGTGCTGTGAGGGGTGAAACGTGACATTTCAAAGTGGATGGTTCGGTGGGGAATACCGCAGCTGAGGAAATTGAAGCAATCTCACCACAAATTAATAGCGTGGCACGCTGAGTTATGGGGTGAGACTGTCAATGCGCATCGAGAAACTTAGAAAGGTGGGTTGCCATAGTGTTATATGTCCCTTGCTGTTACCTATGCATGGCAGAGACATCGTGAAATCTCCTACAGGTCGATGTGGGATGACGTGCAGAGCTCTTCAGAGCTTGAAGGTGGCTGGACCCTGATAATGTGACAGATCCCGTTTTATTGGACGTACCGAAGCTCTCGAACGTCTCGAACGTCTCGAACGTCTTGAACCTAAGAATTTTTAGGGTTGACATTGACTCTGCTCCGGAATAGGGAAGGTCTATTCCATCCGATCTCAGGCGACTCGATATTGGTAGGAAAGAGAGATGTACTGTTTACGATAAACGGTCATAGAAAATTACAACGAGATGAAAATAAACCTGGATAGTAGGCCGGCCTGGCTGGCTGCCGAGATTGATAATAGATAATTTGCTCCTTCAGCAATCGAGGGTTAAGGGAGAAGATACCAAACATAGTGCGACAAACTATCCACTGGTCGGAGTAGAGTTATCGCCGTTGTTCAGAAAACTGGACAAGGTTGAAACTATCACCAACCGTCGCTACTAATTCATCTCGTGTTAAGCCATTGAGAAAAGGGGAGATGAGACGATCGTCGTTCTGACCGGTCTGTGCTTCAGCCCCAAGCCCCTAACTAATATTAATGAAAACACCCTAATCGAGTCATAATTTTCACGGCCCCCTGATTCAAAATTTTAGTGCGGGAAAGAAAGGGCAAAGCAAAAATAAGGAGGAACTCTCTCTTTTCCCTCTTCTTTCCCTCTCGACCAATCCTCTCGGGGTTTTGTATAGGACCAAAGGACCAATCGTCACGACTTTTTTGCCGTCTGCGGGCCAGTAAACAGAGAAAAAGTCGCCTTATTCCCGGACCGCCTCAGGTATCCATCCGCTCATTCATCAATCATCCATTCAGGTGCTCAGTCAGCCGCGTGTCTCACTCCGTCGCTTCTTTTTCGCTGATTACCTTCTGCCTCATAACCTTACTAAACTTTTTTTTTCTTCCCTTCGCCTGTACCGGACAGCTTCTTCCTACTGTTTGTTACTCTCCTTGACTGAATTAACGCTTCTCTTTTGTTTCCCCATTTTTGCCGGCACCGGAGCTTCGTCCTGTCGCAAATCGATCCACCCACCCTTCCCCCCCCCAGTTTCCCGTACGACCCCGACTCTGCCATCGTCCCAACCAGATTCGGTTGCCTTAGGCTGGTCAATAAACAACCCAGAAACGGGACCTTACCGCGGAGGAATCCATTACATTGACACCTAAACAATCTTCCGATCGAAGAATCCCATCACAATGAGTGTACGCGTCCCCGATAACGACCCCTTCGTCTCCACGTTCTTGCCCCTCCCCTTACCCACACGGCACTTCGATGGGCCACTAATTGAACAACTGATTTAGGGCGGCTACGGCTCATACAACCCCTATGGTGGTCAGGGAGGCTACCAGCAAGCTAGCAGCATTGAGGAGGGTAACGGTAGCTATGGTAAGCGCGCATGGCGGATCGCACAGCAATTGAATGTCATCTAATCAATCTCTTGGCAGAGATGAACCAGGTGGGTGGTGGCTACGACACCCAGCCTTCCGACCCGACCAGCTTGCTCAACAAGTGCCGCGAAATCAACGATGGTATCGCCGATATTCGCGCTAAGCGCGAGGGACAGCTCGCTGCCGCACAGAATGGTTTGCTGGACTCGAGCACTGGAAAGGAGGACCAAGTTTCTCGCCAGACCCTAGACTACGTCGAGGATGAAATCAACAACGGTTTCCGCTATCTCCGTGACCTCCTGAAGAAGATCAAAGAGACTCCCGGCTCCGGAGACAGCCGTGTGCAGACCCAGGTCGATGTGACAAGCCGCAACCTGCGCCGCGAAATCGAGCAGTACCAGCGGGCCCAGTCGGATTTCCAGAAGCGTTTGAGGGAGCAGGTTCGCCGTCGTTATGAAATTGCCAACCCCGAAGCGACCCCCGAGGAGTTGGAGCAGGGTGTTGACAACGTTCTCATGGGCCAGGAGCAGACCTTCCAGGTACGCGACATTCGCCGAGATCTCACGTTGTTAAACCACGGTTAGTTGCTAACATGCGTCATTTAGCTCACTGGTAGCCGGACCCGCCAAGCCAACGATGCCAGACAGGCTGCTCTGGAGCGTTCGGCCGCAATTCGGAAGATTGAGCAAGATATGATAGAGCTTGGTCGACTGTACCAAGAAGTCGCAGAGCTTGTGCACCAGCAAGAGCCTGCTGTCGAACAGATCAACCAGGGTGCCGAAGAGGTCGCTGGAAACGTCGCCAATGCCAACACTCAGATCACCCATGCCATTGACAGCGCGCGCCGGGCAAGAAAGTGGAAGTGGTATGCCTTGCTTATCATCAGTAAGTATCAGAGGTGTCACCATTTGTATCTAGGAGGAAGGAGCTGACCTCGACGTAGTTCTCATCATTGCCATCGTTGTTGGTGTCGCTGTCGGTGTCACCCAGGCAAACAAGTCTTAGGACTGATGAATTTTTTGACTGTGACCCCTATAGTCATGTTGGCTTTCTCCGTGAACTCCGATCGACTCTTGTCTGCGCGACCCTATGCGTTTCCATACCTTTGTGTTTCATATTGCGATTCCCTCTTCTCGTCTAGTAGCTTTGAGCCTTGTATACCCATGCAAGGACTGGAACGAATTTTTGCTTCTGTTTCTTTCTATTCGATCTGTGCGACTTACACCGGCAGGATGTTCTCCATGTTATCTCTATGACCATGGTAAGCTCAACCGCCAATTTCATTCCCTATTTGCGTTGGATCTCCTATGTACTTTTACCCTTGTTATACCACTTGATTGCTGTCTGTCGCGTTTCGCCCGTGTTTGAAAAAGCTTGTCTTGCGAGTGTCTCTACCTTTGCGTTTCCTGCTTCCATGGTCTTTGTATTCACTGATGGTCGTGTATAGTTTCCGCATCTCTGTCGAATGCGGCCTGATGACTGCTGCACTTGGATAGGATGCGTATGATACTGTTGCACGTGTATATACTAGAGTTCCTTCGCTTGCTTTGACTTTTGGCGCTAGATCTATGTAATAATCGACTATTCCACTAATCAATCTAATGAGCCATCGCGACACCAGGAATCAGGAGCCAGTGGTAGATCAAATGTGCTCTATTGTAGGAGTTGCCCACACGTTTTCCAGTGTGGTTTCAGACAGAATTCCTGATAGAGATTCAAGTCCAAGTGCAGCCACATCATTGGGTATCGCAAAACCGTATCTATATTCACGCAAAAAACATTGTTCGCGATCTCACAATGTCTTGCCTTATGCCTGCGCTTGCCTTTCCTTCTCCCTCTGTTCCTCTTCCGGCGTCCGAGTTCGCAACTGCAGCGCATGGATTCCTCCCTCTCGGTCCATCTCCTCCTTCAACAAAGCGTACACCATGCGGTGACGGGCCGGCTGCATCTTCGACTTGAATGCTTCGGAGGTAATCGTTACGCTATCAAAGTGATATCAGTCATGCGCTGTTTCGCAGGAGCCGACGGGCGGGGGACAAACTGAAAATGCGTTTCCCTGGACGTTGACCCACGCATCGGCGCATGGTGCGCATGGAGATGGGAATCATTCCGGATTATAAGATTGGAGGGGGAGAAAGCAGTGGTAATCTGACAGAGTGGGTCATATTAGTACGTCTATATTGCGTTTGTAGGGTAGAGAAAGAATGTTGTGCTTCGTACTTTGTCACGGATGGTATCCTCGACGGGAGTATTGGAAGCCATTCTGGAGGTTGTTGAGAACAGGCGACGAGGAACAAGGCCTGAACGGCTATGACGGAGGAGGGAGAGCATGGGATGTGGTTGAATTGCAGGAAGTGGGAGATGTTGATTTGCGGAGGAGCGTAGGTAAGTAATGGATAAATTGATGGATTTCATTGGTATTTCATGTCATCATGTGAAACGGCTTCTCGATGCCGCCGATCGGCAGAGCTTCCGAGTCCGACCAAAAGCTCCCGACGTTGGCTCTAAACAATGACATCAATCAGTCTACTTGTGCAGTCAGACACCCATTGACGGATTTTTGTGCCCCAATTGCTATTCCGATAGAAGATAAATATGCTATACGCATCCCGCTAACTTCAAGATGCAAGGACGCATGCTGATTTCGGCTCTTTCGCGGGGCTCTGGGCCCTTGGCTCGTCGCGCATTTCAATCATTTCTCAAATGCAATGCTCGCCACCAACCTCGATTCCAACCAATTAATTGTCGGTCGCTCTCAACTTTGCCAAACCTACCTCTCTTCCAAGCTCTCCGAGATCACGACCAATCTAGTCTTGCTGTCGTTCACAGCGCATCGTCCCGCTCCTTTACCTACGGCAATCTAGTTGCCGATGTCGTTCGTGCAAAAGAAAGACTCCTTGAGTGTGCGGGAGGCCAGCAAGATGGGCTTGCAGGAGAGAGAATTGCATTCCTGGCGGAGAATAGCTACGATTACGTAGGTACTGTTTCTCTTCGCTCTTGTCTCTCCTGCCTGGCTGGTTGCTGACTATGACCTTAGTGACTCTCCTTTCCATTCTTGCTAGCGATGCGATCGCCTTACCCTTGTCTCCGGCCTTCCCCGTCGGTGAATTGAAGTATATCTTGGATAATTCCCACGCCAAAGTGCTCGTTGCTACCGAAAAGTATGCGAGCAAGGCACATGATATCTTGAAGGCGGGTCTTGAACGAGAACCCATCCTAGAAGTCAAGGAGAAGATTAAAACCGGGGCAAGCAGCTTGGCTCAAGTAAACTTGCAGGATATTGTGCGGGAGTCTCGTGGCGGAATGATGCTGTATACCTCAGGTACCACCAATAGGCCGGTAAGGACACCTTATCCTAGCAGTGCGGGGCATACTCATATTGATGCGTACTAGAAAGGTGTGTTGATCCCACAATCGGCACTTACAGCGCAAGCAGTGTCCTTGCTGAAGGCATGGAAATATTCTCCGGATGACCGGTTACTCCATCTTCTTCCGTTGCATCATATCCATGGGACTGTGAATGCCATTGTAACACCTATTCTGGCTGGCTCGTCTATTGAATTCATGTTCCCCTTCAACACAGATGCTGTGTGGAAGAGGCTTGCGGCTCCCTTTTTATCCGCATCCTCAGCGAGCAAGATTACTTTCCTTACAGCTGTCCCAACGATTTACAACCGACTCCTATCCTCTTTCCCCGGCCTGTCCCCTGAAGTGCAAGAGGCAGCGAAGAAAGGGATTGCACCCGAGAATCTACGTCTAAATATCTCTGGATCGGCAGCTTTACCGACCCCTACGAAGCAAGCGTGGCAAGATCTCAGCAACGGTAATGTCCTTCTCGAGCGTTTTGGAATGACGGAAGTCGGTATGGCTATCAGCTGCGGCCTCGACTTTGCCGACCGGGTTGATGGTAGTGTCGGGTGGGCATTACCGTCTGTGGAGGCTAGACTTGTGGATACAGAGACGAACGAAGTTATCCAGCCTACAGAGGAATATGGTGCGAATGGACGCGAGCGTGAAGGTGAAATCCAGCTCCGTGGCCCGACTATTTTCCGTGAATATTGGGCCAATGAGAAAGCCACAAAAGAAGCGTTTGTCGACAGTGATGACGGCAAGGGCAAATGGTTCAAGACTGGGGACGTTGCCACGCGCCGAGTAGTCGAGCATGCTGGACAAGGCACAAGTGGGGATTGGGCACAGGGGCCAATGTATTTCATTCAAGGCCGACTGAGCGTGGACATCATTAAGACCGGTGGAGAAAAGGTCAGCGCATTGGAGGTGGAAAGAGAGCTGCTGTCCCTGTAGGTTCTCCGGTACCGCATGGAAAACTGTATACTGATCTGCTGTAGCCCTCAAGTCAGCGAAGCAGCTGTGGTGGGACTTCCATCTGAGCAGTGGGGCCAGAAGGTCGCTGCAGTGGTCGTTCTCGACGCAGAAAAGGCTGCGAATACTGGTCGCAATGGCAAGCCATGGGGTGCTCTTGACATGCGACGTGCCCTTAAGGATCGCCTTGCAAACTATAAAATGCCCCAGGAGATGAAGGTTCTCAACGGACCGATCCCAAGGAACGCAATGGGCAAAGGTAAGCTCCTGTCCCTCATTTGCCATGGCGATATACTTACCTGGCATATAGTGAACAAAAAGGCACTCGTCAAGGAGGTCTTTGGAATCTAATCGCATATGGACTGTCAACATTGTACTATATCTCGACCGTATCTATATCATCCTTTTGGATAAATTCCAAACGTTATTACCTTGCAATTTTTTTTTTCACCCGCCTTGATAATTAAGGGCCCATACCCCTGTGCACTAGATCAACATGAGCCCGCGAGACATAGGTGGTGTTGATCTATATTAATTACATCGGTCATTGGCCGCGGAGACTTCTTCAGCTGTCCTTGGCAGGAGACCGGCTTCACCCGGGTTCCTGATCCAAGGCAGTCTGTAGCGGCTAAATCCGGAGATCACTCCGCATCCGTTATGGCGCGCAAAGACCGGAAAAACACACTCTCTGCAAAGCTACAGCATAAATGTTTCGTTGAATTGTTTCCCGGTCTCAGTCTGACGCTACTCTCGCCATGTGAAGCCGTTGATCAGACCCCTTCATAACCTTAAGTCCGGCAACATTGCCGACGCGCATCCTCCGCACCGGCTGATTTTAATATACCCAAAACCGGATCACAATGGAAATGAAACATCCGGAAAAACAAGCGCATGAATCAAATCGGACCATCGGGCCGCAATGATCACAATCCCATATCAGACCCTCTGAAGCTCCCACAAGCCTTGATACTCTGTCTCGGGATGATACATAAATAACGGCTACGCCCCGGCGCATAAATGACAGAAAACATACTCTTTATACGCCAGCAAGGAGAGGACTTTCACCATGATCTGGACACTCGTTCCCTTTGTGGCACTCTTGCCACTAGTGACAGCTCAACAGGTGGGCACTACACCTGATGCCCATCCCAGACTCACCACGTATAAATGCACATCGCAGAGTGGCTGCACAAAGCAGAGCACCTCAGTCGTTCTGGATGCAGCAACTCACTTCATCCACCAAAAAGGGACACAAACTTCCTGCACCAACAGCAACGGCTTGGACACTTCCATCTGTCCGGATAAACAAACCTGCGCTGACAACTGTGTCGTTGATGGTATCACGGACTACACCAGCTACGGCGTCCAAACAACAGATGACACGTTGACCCTGCACCAGTACCTGCAAACTGGCGATAGCACAAAGTCCGTGTCACCGCGTGTCTACCTCCTCGCGGAAGACGGAGAAAACTACTCCATGCTACAGCTCCTGAATCAGGAATTCACCTTCGATGTCGATGCATCGACTCTCGTTTGTGGCATGAATGGTGCTTTATATCTCTCTGAAATGGAGGCCTCTGGCGGAAAGAGCTCCCTGAACCAAGCCGGAGCCAAATACGGAACCGGCTACTGTGACGCCCAATGCTACACTACGGCGTGGATTAACGGCGAAGGCAACACCGAAGGTGTTGGTTCCTGCTGTCAGGAAATGGATATCTGGGAAGCCAACGCCCGAGCAACAGGGCTTACACCGCACCCTTGCAACACAACAGGTCTGTACGAGTGCAGCGGCTCGGGGTGCGGAGATTCCGGTGTCTGTGACAAGTCTGGGTGTGGATTCAACCCGTACGCCCTAGGTGCAAAGGACTACTACGGTTACGGCCTCAAGGTCAACACCAACGAGACACTCACAGTCGTAACCCAGTTCCTCACAACTGATAACACCACCTCAGGCCAGCTCAGTGAAATCCGCCGTCTGTATATCCAGAATGGCCAAGTTATTCAGAATGCTGCCGTCACCTCCGGAGGCAACACTGTCGACTCAATTACAAAGGACTTCTGCAGCGGCGAAGGAAGTGCCTTCAACCGACTTGGTGGCCTCGAGGAAATGGGCAACGCCCTAGGCCGCGGTATGGTTCTTGCGATGAGTGTCTGGAACGACGCAGGCTCGTTCATGCAATGGCTTGATGGTGGCAATGCAGGACCGTGTAGTGCAACTGAGGGCGACCCGGCGTTGATTGAGAAGCTGCATCCGGACACTCATGTGAAGTTTTCCAACATTCGGTGGGGAGACATTGGATCTACCTACCAGCATTAGAATGGGTTCTACATCGTCTACGGTTGTGTATGTATCATATCTTGGACTTGAATGTTACATGTTACGCGAAATGTAGTGACGTTGATCCTTAAATGTCTATATTCCGATTCTTGCATATTATTAACGGGTTCCATCCCATAGGCCAATAGAAGCAGAATAGAAAGGTTTCATACCCAGTGGGTTCAGGAGTATACATCCGCTAGGAGGGAATGAAAGATAAACGGAGTTACTTGATGAAGGCAAAGGATACCACCCCCAGAAGCACGCATACCGAACTAGAACCACAGCAGCAGCCCTCACGGACTCGGCCACTCGAGATCCTTCCAAGGTCTCCCCCGAGTCTCCCTGGCCAAGTCCTCCAAAGACTTCCACTTCCAAACGCGCTCCCCCGGATTCACCAGCTCATTATCACAGCCCAACCCAGCTGGAGAATGATTAATCTTCCCTTCCCCCATCAAAAACCTCAAATAAGCCGCCGGATCACTCCCCACAACCCTGGTAACCCTCTCCTTATACTCCCCCAACGCAACCTCCGTGACCTCAATCGGCCCACCCCCCTCCCCCTCCATGACCCTCGCAACATCAGAAACACACCTCGTATCTCCCGCAACATGCAGCACATCCGGCACCTCGCCCTCAGCAAAGGAGCGACAAAGCCCCGCAACAACCCTCCCCACATCGTCCAACCCGGTAAACGAAACCTGCTCCCCGGACGACCCCACACTCTCATACCGTCCGCCACGGGTATCAAACCCAAACCACGGCCCAATACTATCCTCCATAAACAGTCCACAAAATACCCGACACACCTTCACCTGGGGAGGTAAGATCTCCCGCGCGAGAGCATAATGCCGCTTCTTAGCGTCCCATTCTAGATGCGGGAAGTCGTGGATGTAGTGGTTTACCCCGAATTCGGAGGGAAGGTACAACTTAATATTTGTTTTGGGGATGGCGCGCAGGAGGGCCTCCTTGAAGCTGTGACCGGAGGGCCCGATTGTGTTGATGAGGATGTCGACGTCGGTTAGGGCTTGCGCGAGGTTGCTTGGGGTGTATTTGCGCAGGTGGAGTTTGGGGTTGGAGGGGATGTTGGGCGGGTCGGTTTCCGAGCGGGTGAGCAGGATGATGGAGGTGAAGGAGGTGATGAAGGGCTTGCTGAGGAGCGCGCTGGTTATGTGCTTTCCTAGGTGGCCTGTTCCGCCTGCTATGGCTATTGTTGGTTTGGTGGGCATTTTGTATGGAGATTGGTATGAGTGGGTGGGGTTGAGGTTGAGAGTTGAGGGGTAGGGGTTTCTTGGTGATTGCTACGTATTTATACAGGTGAATGGGCCGTTACTTGAGAGCATATGGGTGAGTGGACCTGGTGATTCATCATCCTATACGTGAGTATGGTCCTCGATGGATTCAGGAGGCTATTGCAAAGAAGTCAAACTGGGCAAACCGACTGTATGGATTGGGGCTATTCCTTTCTTAGCCTAGTGGGTAATGTTTACGCTGTATGTTTTGTTTGCTACATACTATCATTGGCTGAAGCGGGTTCGAGTGACTGTTTGCACTGGGTCGATAATCTCCTCTGATTGGCTCGTATTGCTATCCCATAATTCCGCTGTCTGATAAGGCTTACAAACTGAGCTATGCGGAGCCCTAGGTCGAGGATAACGATGCTAGACCTTTTCAATAATTTTTTTCTGTAGATTTTCATCGTCTGATTCTCTCAGAGGGAGCTTCTACATCTTGCATAGTAGATTTCATTTTGCGTTGAGGGGTAACATCAGATTTTTGGATATCCTCACAACTTCATCTTTGATACTATCCCACAGTGTACAGAGCAAATTTCCTATACAATATCGAATTCTAGCACTTATCAGACATATCGAAATGAATTCTCGATTGATAAGGGCGCTTCAGCATCTCATACAAGAAGCCCATGGCCATGTCTCGCAACGTCCCTCATCTCATTCATGCTCGCACCACATGAACCCCGATTATATTTCTCAGATGGAGACTTGGTCACAACTAGAAACAATGAGACGACTGCTGTGCCAGAGGCCACCGATTCCTGAGTTACCTGCGGAAATCCTCGAAGACATTGACGCAGTTATTACGCATCGAAACAAGAAAGCAGTTCTGACCTCATCCACATCAATCACCCCGAGCATTGTGCTTACTCCCAACAATCATATGACACCAGAGCAATCGAGCTCCAAGGGAATCAGTATATCACTGTGGAAAGGCGACATCACATCTTTAGCTGACGTCACAGCAATTGTCAACGCTGCGAACTCTCAGCTTCTTGGTTGTTTCCGCCCGGACCATCGCTGTATTGACAATGTTATCCACTCTGCTGCCGGCCCACGTCTTCGCGATGCATGCAATTCCTTAATGCTTAAGCAAGGGCATCCAGAACCGGTCGGGTCTGTAAAGGTTACCCCAGGCTTCAATCTACCAGCGCCGTGGGTATTACACACTGTGGGCCCGCAAGTGAACTCCAGGAAGAGCCCTGGAGCAGTGCAGAAGCAACAACTAGCAGGTTGTTACAGGTCTTGCCTTGATGCCACTGAGTCACTTCCTGCGCTTCCGGACGGCCGTAAGGTTGTAGCCTTCTGCTGTATCTCAACAGGACTGTTTGCTTTCCCGCCGGACATGGCTGCCAAGATTGCTCTGGAGACCGTGGTGCAATGGTGCTTGGATCATCCGGCAACAACCGTGACCGATATAATCTTCGATACCTTTATGGAGCGAGACTACGAGTTATATCAAGCAAATATATCCGAGCTCAAGACTAACTTTGCCTCTCCAGGCGTCCAAATATCTTTCCCACCGAGTCCATCCCATCAACCCAAGGCACTCATTACCCCTACCATAACCAAGGCGCGAGGCTGGCTCAAAGAAGCAGACTACTTAGTTATCTCAGCCGGTGCTGGTCTTTCAGCAGCTATCGGCCTCGACTATACCTCTACATCTCTTTTCGAAAAGCATTTCCCCGCATTTCTCTACCTCGGGCTAGGACGCCTATACGACGTTTTTGGATTCAACGACTGGGACAGTCCAAATCAAAAATGGGGCTACTACTTCCTCCACCTAAACATGGTCCGAGCCTGGCCGGCATCGAAACTCTACGGCGCCCTGCGTAAACTCGCAGCCCCATTTGCCGATAGATATTTCGTTCGCACATCCAACGCCGATGGCCAATTCGCTGCCAACGGCTTCCCAGCAGAGAAGGTATCCACACCACAAGGCCAATACCGATTCCTACAATGCTTCGCCAAATGTCGACCCGATGCCGTGTTTCCTTCCGATCCCTTCGTGGACGCCGCGTTACCCTTTATTGATCCAAAGACCCAGGTTCTCACGGATGAACCGAAGATCCCTGCATGCCAATACTGCGGCGGCGAACTGACACTCTGTGTGCGTGGTGGGGACTATTTCAATTCTGCGCCATTCCGTACGCAGGAGCATAAGTGGAAGCAATATATCGAAGATGTTGCCAGCAATCTGGATGGTAGGAGGGCTGTTATTCTTGAGCTGGGTGTAGGGCTCAATACGCCGGCTGTGTTGAGGTGGCCGAATGAGGAGCTGGTGGAGGACTCTTTGAATCCTGGTTTTCGACTTATCAGGGCGGGAATAGGGGCTTCTGGGTGTGCGCCTTGGGATCTGGAGGAACGAGATTTGGCTGTTGGAATTGAAGGGGACTTGGGTTTGGTTGTGGAGGCATTGGTGGGTTGAAGCTTGTTATTGAACCGATACCTGTATAGAGAGATACCATAGATTGTCTCGAGACATTGAAATGTTGACTTATAATTCAGGATTATTTCGGCATTTCTGAAGTTCGTTCAAGTTGACTGGGAGCCTAAGGCAAGATATTGGCATGCAGCTTCACCGCTGCTTCGACATACCAAGGAGTATCGTTCTCTTAAACGGTGCTTAATTCTTGGCTGTGAACAACATAGCTAAACTTACCAATGCCACGTATCATGTTCTAACTACTCTGCAAACGAAGAATCAGTTGGTTAATACTGGTTGCATTTTGCTCAATAGTAGGCTGGGCCTCTCTCGCCACCAAGCTACGTAATTACAGCAGCTTGGAGACGCAAGATAGGGTTGTAATGTAGCCAGTGGGTGGATAATAGGCAGACATGCGCACGTTCATGCAGGATATCGTCACTTTCTGCAACGTGACAACAATGCGGATACATCACAGATCTAGAGTCACCTAGACCAAGGGTCACCACTCTTATAACCTCACAGAAGCGCTTGTGTGATCGTAGAAGGCTGTGTTCAGAAGCTAGTTGATGGTAAATGCTGCTTCGGCGAGTGTTGTTCAACATATTAGCAACCTCATACTACTTTCTTTATCTACTGAGCGGCAACAAACGATATTTCCAATCTACGCCTCTGAAGCTCCTCATTATCTTCGTTGCTCACCTGGTCGTTTCTCTTTTTCGGTGGATCGCAGAGCAGATACTATACAACATGCGGAAGGAAAGTCCATCATCTTACGACTACGAGTGTCGGAAACATATTATATTTCGTTCAATAAGTTATCTATTTTTGATGCTCTTCATCACCCCGTTGACCTCCATTTGGTGGAGCGCTATAACAGACTACAATGGCTCCCTTCAGCTTTCTGTCATGAGGTTCCTGGCAGATCCAAAGGCGTCGTTGAGCTGGCATTCTCTACCTTCCCACGATATCACCGTTCCTTTTGCAAAATGGATCGTCTTCGAAGCGATACTGTATACCGTATTGTCGGGTAGAATATGTGCTGGCCAACCTACGCCATCAGGTCACACCTTGCCTTATACAATGAACGGCCTATCATTTTTCATATGCACAATTACCTCCTTCCTAGTACTAGCAGCGCTCGGATGGACTGAGCTTGCCTTCATAGCCAGCAACTGGAGAGAGCTTATTCTGGTGGTGAATGCATTCGCTTGGTTGCTTACAGGCCTAGCCTTTCTAAAGGGGCGCCTTGCTCCGTCATATATTTATGATAATAAGGGGAATGGTAATAAATAATCTCTCTAAAAGTCGCTGCCTTTCTAACAAGTTTCAACAGATTCATACATCTCCGACATCTGGCGAGGCATTGAACTATATCCCCGATTCGGCGCAGCATGGGACCTCAAAATATTCCACAACGGACGCTGGACGATGACCACACTTGTCATGATGTAAGTCCAAGCGCCATCGGAGGTCATATATCTCAATGTCTAATATTATACTCTCAGAGATATATCCTTCGCAGCCCTCCAACGGGAAATCCACGGTTATATCACCTCCACGATGATATGCGTAATACTACTCCGTAACCTTCTCACCGTCAACTTCTTCACCAACGAAGAATGGTAAATGTCTCCTCACTACCCATGCCACACGAGAATCTGATTTCAGCCCGCAGGTATCTCCGCAGTATGGACGTATGCGACGAGCCCTTCGGATTCTACTTCGCCTGGGGATCCGGCGTTTTCTTCCCGACGATGTACACTCTGCAGACGCAGTATCTTGCCCTGAACCCCGTTGAGCTTCCCCTCACTCATACTATCGTGAGACTTTCCGTTGGAATCATAGGGTTTATCGTCTACTATGTCGCCACAGAGCAGAAGAACGCAGTATGTGACACGAAGGGTGCCAAGGATGTACGACACGAAACGGTACAGTTCATTCGTGCTTCGTATACGACGACAGATGGGGTCGACAGAGAGTCACGCTTATTATGTAGTGGTATGTTACCGTTTAATCACAGTGCTCCACATTTGATACTTATGAATGACCCAGGCCTGTGGAGCCATATCCGGCATCCCAATTACCTGGGCGTATTGATATTGACGTACGCCATGTGCGCATTGTGTGGGACTGAGGCCCTGCTTCCTTGGACCGAGGCTATCTTTGCCACTGCTTTCCTTGCTCATAGATGTATGAGGGATGAGAGGAACTGTGTGAGGAAGTATGGCAAAGATTGGGAGGTTTATTGTCGGAGAGTGAGATGGAGGTTGGTGCCTGGGGTGTATTGATTTTCCTTCATTTTCTGGAGTAACCTTTTGCTATCTATAGAGAGACTGGACTTTTCATAGCCATATGCACGTCTTACTTGGTAAGATTTACTAGCAGACTGTATCAATACGAGACCTCCTGGACTGGTCAAGCAGCTGATCATCACGCCTGTTGAGCAAGCCGCTCGGTTCGGACAAATTGCCGAGATTTATGTTCCTGCTGTCCAGGCCACTATCACCGAGCCCACAGTCGAGGCGATAGCTGAACTGATCGTTGAAGGATGAGTTGCTGAATAGGTTGTTCATTTTTGCCTTTACGCAACTGGCTCAGGACCTGCTACCGAATTGGCATTGAACATCACTGAGCGGTATTTAACAGGATGAACCAAAAGCAGATGTAGCTTGGCTGCTGCAAAGAAGAATCACTGTTCTGCGTTGTGCGTGGGAAGTCGACAACGAGAATGAGGAGAGGGTTGCGCAGAAGAAGTCGTGACTCGTGAAATGAGAACCCAAGACGAATGGGTTCTCTATTTCAGTAGGAGTTAGCCACAGCTCAACATCATTCCTGGAATCGAATCCCCGCTCAACGTCATTGTTGCAATAGATCAATATGATAACAAGAAGAATCAACATATGAAGCTAAGAAAAAACGTATTCAAACGGCTCTACGCACAATCAACATTACTATAGTAGCGCGTAATCCTAGAGTGCTGTAAGAACAAGTGTCCAGGCCAAGTCCATCCTATTCCTCCAGGTAGTATCTCTTGCCTTGGTACTATCTTAGCGGGTGAGTGCAAGGCGCAGTTATGCCAAACATCTTCAGGTCAGGCGTACTTGATATATTCTTCGCTTACTATCCACCTGAAACCCCTGCGCGGCTGACGTGTTCCCTCCGCTAAACCAGGGCCGCCCCCACGTCTTGGATCTTTGTATCAGCGACAATTCGTGGAGGGCACACCAACACCGGGCAATGGTATGGGGTGGCACGGGCCGCTTCTCCACCAGAGCCCCGTAGCTGCAACAACAGGTGGGAGGCCTTAGACAGCCTAACCTCCCTTATGAAACCGGTTCATTTTTTCATCTTGCTTTTGAGCATATCCTGTCAAAGACCTTTGTCTTGCCAGCTTGTCGAATACTGTGTCAAACCGCAAAGAAGCTCTCCACCTGTATTATGGCCGACGGATACAGTGACAGCCCTCAGGGCTCGACCGTTTTCGAACTGAACAATGGTATGTTCAATACTTATACTTGACAGGCATCCGTTGATGAATGCAAGGCTAAGATAAATATCAACCAAGGCATGAAAATACCTACGCTCGGTTTTGGCGCTATGAAAAGTCAGTGGCCGTCATCTTGGACAAAGGGTTCCACCTTTCCACCCTGACCGCTGACACCTGGTATGCTACAGAAGGCATAGTTCTTCCAGAAGAAGAGAGGGACTATGTCCGCAGTCTGATCGTGCAAGCCATTAAAACTGGCTATCGGTTAATCGACACATCTAAAATCTATGCAACCGAGGACCTTGTTGGCGAGGCAATCAAGGAGTCTGGTGTAGCTCGGTCTGAGATCACTGTTTTAACAAAGCTATCTAGTGATGATCACCATGATGTGCGCGCAGCCTTTGAGAGATCGCGGCGCTTGCTCGATACCTACATTGATATCTATATCATGCATTGGCCGCAAGGCTTTACAAAAGACGTGTCACGCCCATTGGCGCCTGATGAGAGTCCAACCTATATAGAGGTCTACAAAGAAATGGAAAAGCTAGTGGGTCCGAATTGCAGAGCCATTGGTGTCGGCAACCTCACACAGAAGACGTTGGACATGTTGCTCAAGGAAGCGGAAATCAAGCCTGTGGTCAACGAAATCGAGATCCATCCCCGGAATCCTAATATAAAGTTGGTCCATTATTGCCTCGAAAGAGGCATACGTCCAATCGCCTGGGGGTGAGTTGACCTTGACTGATGATCCTTTCAGAATCATTTTGCTTAATACAATGAACGTCTCACAAATTGACAATGTTGAATAGCCCCTTAGCAGGCGGACCTACAAGCCATTACTCGGACACCTCGCCGATCTATGAGAGTCCCCTCCTCCTCTCTCTTTCTTCACGTTACGAGCTCTCTGTCGGGACCGTCATCTTGTCGTGGCTCGTTCAACGTGGAATCGTCGTCATTCCGCATTCAAGCTCACTAACCAGGCTGGCCGAAAATAGACGCCTCGCGAGACTAACGGACGGGGAGGTCCAGGAGATAAACGCCTTACACGAGGAAATAGGGAGAACGTGGCTTATTGATTCTGTGCCCCCGGTCTGGATGGAGGTGCCAGGGAAGGGGAAGACGATTATGGGGTGGACAGTACAGGAGGTTGGCTGGGTGGATGACAGGGGAGAATGCTTGGTTTAATGATGTTTTTCAGCTTCATGGACTACCAATAGAAGAGGAAAAATGCTGTAATACAACTAGATCGCATTGATAACTCTCCAGAGTACGTATGTATTAGATCTACATCGGTTGAACCTCTTGAAAACCCGTCCTGATAACAAGTTAACAACCCTAGTTCCAACTAGATGACCAGTTTATGGAAGTGATTAATCTACTTCATAATTTTCAGAAGGAAAAAAAAAACATACAACAGGAGGGATTCGCTGGTGGTCACCCACCCAACTACTAACCTCCCGGCGTGTGGCTTAAGTACGGCTGAGCGGACGGGAAGCCCTGTTTTCCACACCCTATGGTCGTATGTACTGTCTATTACTTAGGGTAGATAGATATGGATATGTGACAAACCAGTTAAATGAGAAAATGCGGACAGAGGGGCTCAAGCCAAATACAGTAGTATTTGGCCAGCCGTAGAAAGACCCAAATCAGCCGAAAAAGAGAGTATAATCACAGCGCCTCAGCTCGTCGTCTTTTGGGCGAGGGAGAGTTCTCTTCCGAAGGGGAGTGCTCTCTCTTCCTGCGTGAACGTGTGTCATCCATGAGAAATGTAGGTCTCTCTCCCTCGCGGTCAGTAGTAGGCTGGTTTCCCCAGAGCGCCTGATTCGTCTCCACGGGCCAATTACTAGCGTATCGCCCTTCCCAGTGGGTCTCTTCTTCCCGGAAATGCCTCTCCACAATAGCTTTAGGAGTACTGGAAGTGGAGACTTCAGTGGATGAATTTGACGGTTCAGTGGATGACACTACATCCGATATCCCACGTTGTCTCGAGCTCCCTCGTAAAGCTCCGCCCTGATATGTGTTACCACGGTACGACGGCAAACCCCTGTCATTGCGCTGCGCGAAAGAGCGTCTCATGGTATATCCTGTGCTCACTAGGTGCGGCGTTCTATTACTAGCCGCGGAAGTCCGCATTGGAATGCGGGAGCTACTACCAATGCGATCAGCACCCCGTTCATGAAGCCGATTTGTTACTTCGGTAAGAAGGAATTCAGTTGCCCTGCTCAGTGGCCTCTGCCTGCTATGGATAGCACGGTCAACACGGGTCTTGCCGTCGATAAGCAATTTGGCTGTCTCCCTGTGTCCCTTTCCTGTTGCCCACGCGAGTGGTGTGCGTCCATCTTGAGCCTGGGAGTCGACTTGCGCACCGTTTTGGAGTAACAAATCTGCTGTCGCGGTATATCCACCAGAGGCAGCCCACGACAGGGGCGAGCGATCAAATACGTCCCGAGAGTCAACCGCAGCTCCATGTCGGAGTAGGAGAGTGACCACCGGTAGATGGCCATTTCCCGCGGCACGCGAGAGAGGAGTACGGCCGTCCCTGTCTGTCTCATCTGCTGGGGCTCCTGCCTCCAGTAACATCTTAGTCATTCCCTCATGCCCGTTTTGTGCTGCCCATGTAAGCGGCATTTCTCCGTACGTATCCCTGCGATGAATGGAAGCACCATGTCCCATCAGGATTCGTACCATCGTTTCATTCCCGGTTCGTGCCCCATGAAACAGTGGCGTCATTCCAAAGCTATCTTCTACCTCAATGCTGGCACCGCAATCTATGAGGGCCTGCACAGCGTTCCGGTGTCCGTTTGCGGCTGCTTGGGACACAGCGGTTTGCTGGGAGCTATTCGTCACCGTTGGATCCGAATGATATGGCAGGTTCCTTCTCTTTTCATCAAGGAGTACTCGAATGACCTCGACATGACCATTTGCGGCTGCATACGATAGCGGGGTTTCCGAAGAATCGTCTGGTGAGTGTGGAACAGAATCAGCCAGACGCATCACGACAGCATCGTGGCCATTAGATGCGGCCCGGGAAAGCGCAGTTTGCTTGTTTTTGTTTTGGCAGCGGATATCGGCACCCTTTGCCATCAGGAGCACTACAGTGTCATCATGTCCATGCTCCGCTGCCCTCCACAATGGCGTCGAGCCTGATTCATCCTTAGAATCAATATCTACCCCCAAAAGCAGTAGTATTTCGACTGCTAGCGAATAGCCTTTTCTGCAGGCGGCATGTAACATTTGATTGCGGAATTTTGTTGCGTTCCTATGCAGACCAGGGCGGATCTCTGGTGTGTACAGCACTGACTTCGTCCAGCCTTCTAGCAAATAAGAAGCAGGAAAATGCCTGATTCGTTCGAACACACTAGTTATGGTTTCATTTGTGAATGCGTCTTGCTCAAGGTGCTGTAAGTGATGCTGGAGGTGCTCCAAGGTATAGCATAGAAGTGGTCTCGACTGCAAATAGCTAGCACAGGCCGCGAAGCACTCCGTATCCCAACCATCGTTGTATAGTTCCATTTCCATTTCCTGCGATGAGCTACCTGCCATGCAAAAGGTAAGGTATCGCAAACAGGTAATGGCAATGCACCTATGTGCATCTCTGCTGATAATTTGGAATTCTGATTTTGCAACGCATCCTTCTTTGTTGAGAAAGAATTCACGGACCGTTTGGTGTATTACCTGGACGGTTCCGGTTTGCTTGGGCGTGTCCACGATGCCGGCAGAACCAGGGTCCAAACCAGCAAATTGTATTTCCAAAAAGTTTCCACCACAGCTTATCAGTCGGCGAGTCAGGTCTGTGGGAAGGCACGCCTGAAATGATTCGTCGGAAACATTGATCTCAACATCTGGCTCAGCCTGGATGCCAAGGGCATGAAGTAGCTCATTTCCTCGCAGAGGGCGAGCTGAAAAAAGAACGAAGTGGAATATCTTCAAGCCGTCGCGGAGGTTGCGCCTATCGTGTTTCATGCGTTGGAACATCATGACGTAGAAGGCTTCAAGTTCTTTTGGGAGCTCTTTGAGGTATGCGAAAATGTCTCTTGCCGCATAGCCCCCTTCAGCGAGAGATACCAGCTCCCGTCCCACTAGTTCTACCCAAAGAAATACACCTTGGGCATTTTGAACAATAAAGTTAATAGCCAGGTCCATAAAAGGGGTAGATTCAAGTCCATTGAGAAAGCTGCGGGCAAATTTAGCAATATCCGCCTTTGTTTCGTTCTGGAGCTTGATAAAGTGATGGGAGCTTCCCCGAGAGGGCTCATGCGCCACAGGACGGCTGGCAACAAAGATTTTCAGCGTGCAATGCTTCGTAGTCGCACAAATTCCGTAGAGAAGCGTAAGGATCTCCCGTCTATCATCCGTGTCGGATTCATCAACTGCATCGATAACAAGGAAAATTGGTCTGAGAGAGCAATGATCCTCTAATGAGGAGAGCTGTTCTTTCAGAACTTCGTAGTCCCAGCTGACTCGCTCCACACTTTCATTCGAGGAGCGTTGCAATTCCATCTTGAGACGCCGATATCTGGACTGGAAGTGATGATAGAAGAAGGATTCGTCCTGGCTAAGAATATCGTAGAGGATATTTAGCAGCATGCTGTAATGACTGGTTTGTAACTCCCCTTCACGAAAGCTGTAGAAGAATCTCGCAATTACGGCATCGCATGCCAGTGGGAGCTTGGCGACGAGATTGTTAACGAAGTGTTTTGCCAATGTGCTTTTGCCGCTTCCTGGTTTCCCTTGGACGTACAAGAGTTGCGAGGAATTTGAAACAGACCACTTTTCATATTCCTCATGTGCCCACAACCAGTCAAAAGAGCCCTTGTGTCCTTTTGAGATCTTATCAAATCGGGTATTATGAAATCGTAGGCTCTGAAGGCATTCTTTCGGATGGTGAGTGCGATAAGCTAAGAAACCTCGGTGGTGAAAGAAACCTTAACTCACCTTTTCTCTCCTTGTCATGTTCTATAAATGGTATTCCATCGAAGGCCTTGCTCAAGACAGGGTCACTTTGGCTGGTCAGCAGAATGTGGACTGTGGAGACTTTCTTATCGAGATTATTGACAAATCTACGGACATTTTCGATGAAGTCCCCATGTATCTCAACCTTGTCGATCCCATCTAGAATAAGCCACAGATCCCGCACCTCTGCACTGATGGCAATTTCCAAAGCTGCAGCTATATCATGAATCGGAGCATCTAGAATTAGCCCTATCCTCTCAAAGATGCTCCACTTTGAGATGGCATTGTCCATCTTACTCTCTCGTCTGCTTTTAACAATTCCGTAAAAGAGACTTTGAAGGACCTTTCGAGACACAGCCATCTGCTGCTCCTCCGACAGAGTAAGTAGGAGTTGAAGAAAGATGGTATGAAAGACCTTGATGCCTGATAGCTTTTCTTCCTTCCCAGGAGAGCAAAACGCGATAAGCTTGAATCTTTGAGCGGGGGGCTGCTTATTGTAACAGTCGTCCAAGACGTGCCGAGCGACATTGCAGAGACTGGACTGATTTTGCGCGGAAAGCCACAGTATCTGAGAAGATTGGCTATAATACCACCTTTGAAAATCCACGTTTTTGAAGACCCAGAGATATTCAGTTCTTTCTATAGGTAGATCATAACAGGTCTTTACCATAGCAGAACCCACTACTAGTAGTGAGCGCCGAACCTCGTCCATCTTGAACTTGTCAATAGCAACTTGAAGGGCTTCCTACATATTTCAATAATCGTCTCAGGTTATCAGCTGAATTGGCTTGAAATTGTAGCCAGGTGAAAGTTGAGCCATACCAACTTAGCAGTAGCTGGGTCAGCGGAGGGCATTTCCCTGACTTGTGTTGCGGGTATCACGGACAGCAGCTCCTTTGTCGCTGCAGCGGCAGCGATGGCGGCATAGGGCTGCCAGTCCTTATTCTTGTGAGAGTCAGAATAATCGCATATCCCTCGGATCACAAGGCATGGAAAGCAGTCCATCAATCCGGCGGCTTCCATGTCAAAGCATATGATATCGCCGAGTTGGTCTCTGAGCATCTGACGGGTCTTTCCATCCCTGATCACACGATTCCCCGACGCTATGGTTCCATAATGAACCATTACATCTTTGTTCTGTCGCAGTGGCCTCTTGACTAGATTTTGTGGATCACACTTCTCGCATGTGGGCCCTTCAACATGTTCGTAATCCCACTTGAATAAATCATCAGTTTCCGGGCGGATGAACGTACGTTGATTGCTCAGTGGCAACAGGTATTCTGCGAGCGCACTCTTCCTACGCAGATGCTTCGCTTTCAGGTTGTTGATGGCTTGAAGAAAGATAGTTGGAGGCTTGTTGAGAGTTCCAGATCGCCTGAAACCCTGTGGGACGTCCTTTCCAAAATCGTACTGCACCACTCCGCCATGCTGCTCACCTGGTTGGCTGATGACGACATCGCCCAGACGAATATCAGCTTTCTGGCTAGGGATTCCTCCACCGACTCCCACCATCAGGACAAACCGTATGGAGGTGAATGTAGCTGTCATTCGGGTAGCCATCATAGCGGCAATGCTGGTTCCTATTTGACCAGCAGGAAGGCACGCAATCACCACATTGTGTTGATTGATGTGTCCAAAGGTATAGAGGGTATCTCCACGGGGGGCTTTGTAGTCTGGCCTGTCATGTTCCTCATCTAGCAACTCCTGCGCTGCGGCCAGCTCGATGGGAAGGGCGCACACCCAACCTACGCTGTAGTCCTCACAGCGGAGACGGACCTGTGCCATCCTAAAGACGTAGGTTGGAGAGGCCAACACTCTTCGCAGTGAACAGATTGAAGATGGGGGATCAAAAGATGCCTTTGCAGATGTCGGTCGATCATGCCAAGGGTGGAATTGGTGTCAGCCTTGCTATGCAGCATTAGTGATGTGATTGGGCAGCGGACGCGCGCCCGCTGACCGACAGCGTGGCAATGCTTCATAATAAACCAATAAAATTATAGATTTCAAGAATGGGGGCAGAGTCCTATGGAGCAATTTTCAATGCGAGTCGCGGATAAAGGAGTCCGTGTGGAAAACACTGTCGGGTATAATTCTAATGTATAGAACAAACGTCGCCAGACTACGTACTCGATGCTGCGTGAGATTGTCAAGATCAGTTTTGGCTGCCATTAGGCCAGATAAGGAAAGTCGTGCTTACGGCCGGGGCTGGCACCTGACTTAGGGCAAGATCACCTCAAACGTGCACTCAATTATCACCATCCAGTGGCCCCTTTTGATTGCCTATAAGCAGGTCTAGATACTGAATCCGTTATATAATCCCTGGTGGAAATACCCTCAGGGTGTAGAAGTGACGAGATGATAATTAGTACCATTGAACAACCAATCAAATGTCTCTGACTGCAATATCCATAATGATAGGAGACTACCCCCAACGACTGATCGGTCTCTTTATTCTCCGCGTCTCGGTCTCACACAATCCTCAACAGACATTCCAGTGCAGTGATTAATCTTTAGAATCTCGTCCTAACTCCTGAGCTTTGTGGGTAGCGTCTGCCCTAGTGACCAAGGATGAGAGAGACGTCCGACATCTACTCGCTCGCAGCCATTCTAGATGAGTCTGTAGTACAACGTATAGTGGGTTCCATGCGGCGACGAAGCAAGGCAACAGAAAGCATGACTTGTGAGGATCATGTTTCACATTGCAAAAAGCAATATGGTATCTACAATCAAAGCATTATTCGTATATCAGCTTTCATTGTGTTCGCCGATTGAAGACATGACAAAGAAATTGGGTGTTTGGTAAGAAAGTCCTCCAGCACCTCAATTATTAGTCTTGCATCGAGCAAGGCCTGAAGACCAGTAAGTAGGAAGGCACCGATAATCAATTACGAAGGTAGTCTCCTGAGGGCATGTCAGCCGTGCCTCAAGGTGCAAGCAATGGTGGAGTGGGTGAAGCTCATAGAATGAACTGAAGAAAACCTGCCGCTCAGGGCATTAATCTGTACCTCACTCAGAATGAAGGAAAGAAAAAAACATACAACAGGAGGGATTCGCTGGTGGTCACCCACCCAACTACTAACCTCCCGGCGTGTGGCTTAAGTACGGCTGAGCGGACGGGAAGCCCTGTTCTCCACACCCTATGGTCGTATGTATTAGGTTCCGGAGTTTTAAAAAATTATATAGGATCTTTAGCATGTCAAATAAAAGTGCGGTTTCTATGTAGCAGGTATGTATGTCCATAAACCCTCCACCCTTCTGGTCTATCAACCCTTCATACTTCAAGAGTAGTGATACAATAGTAGCCTTCACGAATAACATGTTCTAAAAAGTTGAATATTCCATTAGGTCTGCCGTATGTTGAGCTTTTCGAGGTCTATAATATTATTATAGGCGGCTCCTGATATTGTTTAGATAGTATAAGAGCAGCAATATAACTATATCTTCACAATGTCGAAAGTATGATGGAGAAGTAAGCCAAATCTGTCATGGAACAACTGTCGTCATTACATTAATAATTATTTTCATACTCTTTGAATCTTTAATGGTAGTTAATTGTATTCCCAAAAATTTATGTGTGGTTAGTTTTATCTTGTATAATCATGACCACAAACGAAAAAGGTAGAAAGCAAAGCAATCTCATTCCCCGAACTAGTTAATTGGATAGACTATTAGTAGTGTGTTATGCCTCACAGAAGTTTAGCCAGCTAGCATTGACGTCTGCCACCATAGTTCCACGGCGGACGTTTCTCCTCAACGGGACCTCGGTCCCCGGCCTGTCGGTGAGGTAACTTGCTGCTACTAGCTTGCTCAGGCTCCCGTGGTGAATGTATATCTGGAGGGGCATTTTCCTTAGAGCGGCCCTGTGACTGAGCTGGGTAGACCGAGGAAGCTGGGGGGGCTCTTCGTAGGGGTATAACCAGATGTTGAAGGCCTCCCCATACACATTGTCCTCTCTCACTGGAATAGAAGTTTCACTGTTTGGATCTGTAAAGCCGATGAAGGTAAGGTCAACTAGATATAGCTTGTCTGCCACCTTGTCGTACCGTAGAAAACTGGGATGCTGCTCGTATAGCTTGTATCCATTTTTTCGCATGAGCCTATGGGATTGCGTGTTAGTAGTACCTGCTCTCATCACTAGGACAAAGAGTATACCGGCAGCTTACTCTAATATACGAGCTAGCTAGCTAGCTTCTGATGCTGTCTAGCTGCCTGTCCAACAATTCATCGCGGATCTCATCGACATCCGGGAACAGTACCATGACAAGAAACAAGACAGCGCCTCCGTCAAATGACCATCCGGTACCTTGAAGCTGTCCCCAGTGGGCCACATACTTCAGCCCATACCCAGCATTACCGAGACGCTGTGCCGCATCGATAAGGAGTAGGTGCATGAACAGAAAATACTGTGGGAAGGAACTTTCAATTCTCCCTTCTGCGTACCCAATACGCAACAACTACATCAGATTCACTTCAGAATCACCAAATTATTTCTTCAACGGACCTGTTACTAGTACCTATTTATGGTTTATAAATCAAATGCTCTTCACCAAGACCAAATGTCCACCTATTCATGATGCGAAACTAGGGCTTTGAAATTAAATGTAGGAGGGGACATGCCAGTTTGTATGCATTTATTCACTCATGCCGTGACACGATCCCCGAGGCTTGGTTAGCGCTACTATATATACCGCACCTGGGAATGTCGAGCCATTCAGGGTTTGACATAGTGGGACTCTTTGACCTACTCTGTAGAATAAAATCCCGGAGGAATCTATTATAGTTTATACAGGTTGAGGAACGTAGTCCTAGGCCTGTGAATACAAGGTAGCCAGCAGGCAGCAACGGATTCACTTGATAGAATGAGATAGCTCTAACTAATCCCTATATTATCAAGGCTTCCTCGTTGTTTGACTTTCCAACAGGTTTCTACTTTCTAAATATTTCTAATAAAGCATCATCTACCAGTAAACAGCTCAGAATATAACTGCCATAATGCCTCCAGCACAGCTTTCACAAGCACAGCGCAATATTCTCTGCTCCCCGCTTCCTCACCTCCGCACTGACGTGAAGTTTGCGACGAACCACCCCTGCAATTCCAGGTGTGTCTTGGATATACGTCTGATTTGAAAAGTAGATGAGGGGTTACCTAGCTAAGCATACTGGGGACATCGCTAAGTCCACAATTTTGAAGTCTAGTGCAGCCTTCGGCGTCAACAATGAACTTGGTGTAAAGGCGCACTTTACCCAAAATGCCTGCCACGTAATTGGAGAAATGGTACAGGCATTGGGCTATACGGTCGATTTTGCGGAGGACCAATACGGCTGTAACAAAAGACAGGGGCAAGATAAAAGAAAGCGTATCCCTATTCGCTCGAGCAGAGTTCCAGATATCGTCATGGTACATCGCCCGAGTCATGACATCCGCATCATTGGGGAGATCAAGACCGCGTGGACATTCAGGCCCAAGAAGAGACGAGTTTGTCGCTGACAAAATGGGTAAGTCATTGCTATCATCCGTTCGGAATGCGCTTCTGACGAAACTGGATAAGGGCAACTTGCACGCTACGTGGACGACCACTACTGCCAGTACGGGTTCTTCACGACATAGTGACGACTATACGCGGTTCCTAAAGTGAACCGACGACTACCCCTTCGTAGTGTCGTGGCCCATTAGCTCCACAACCCATAGCGATCCAGCATCAATCTCTGTCAATGAGTGCTTCCTCTCTCTTTGGCAATTCGTGCCACCGAGGGTGCGTTGACAGTATGGCCGCCTATGTTTAGTCACGAGCTTGTTAGTTGGTAGGATAAGTCTATACGGATAGCGGCTAACAGAATTCCTATGGTAGACCAACGTGGGTATCATCCAACTGACTGAGAAAAAGCAGTGTCTATAACAGGACAAATGGTTGTCAAACTGTCGGTGGGATCGGAGGAAACCTCTGATGGTGCTTTCGCTTTTCTTGAATAAAATCCACGCGCACTTCGAGTTTATCCTCGTTGTGCTGGTGGTGTTCAGGTCGTCAGTCCGAGCCTCCTCCAACGATAAACTCATACCTCAACGTAGTGTCGGAGTCTAGTAGCCGTGATGGTGAAGCTAAGATGAGTTTACTAACAGCTATATAAAGTAGTTAGGTAGCTGATACAAAAATCATAAGCTTTTAAAATCGGTCCATGACGGTGCAGTGACCAAGCCTATATCTCATATTAGACCCTTATCCAGGTGGAGTAGAGTAACTTGTGAGGTCAGCTGTAACTCAAAAACTAGAATAGTTACTACTGTGATACAAGTTACAATTAGTATAAGCTCGTGAAATGGTATCCTCTAGGCACGATCTTTATATAGAATAGAAAAGGCAGCCCCCAGAACAGCCTGAAATAACCAAGTATGACAAAGCGATAAACCCTTAGGAAGGCCAAACTAATGCAACAGCATATAGAACCATACTACTTATTTCCCCAGTAGTCGGCCTAGTACACTCACCATGGGGCGGCTGGAGAAAGTACATCAAGCAGTTAACAGACTAGCCAATCTGATAGTCAAAATAGTAAACACCGACCGGCGAGTTGTTGACGCTGCGAAGAAACTGAAGCCGTCGTCATCAGTTGGCAGCCTTTGCGGATTCGTGTTAACTCCGTGTCAGCATCGACCGGAGTTAACCTTCAGAGCTTACATTACGGGGTTAGAGGCTCAGCTTTGAATATTTAAATTCATAGTAGCCCCTAGCCGAAATTGACAGAATTTTTAAATCCCTGCTCTAAATTATGCATTGAGCAAAGGCGAGCCATTACATTCTCTAGCCCTACATACAACATGCGTCTCATTCTCACAGGTGCCACCGGCCTGGTCGGATCGGCCGCCCTCAACCATATTCTCTCTCTCCCGCCCGGCGAAGTATCGCACTTGTATATCCTGAGTCGGAAACCTGTGCCTAGCGCCGAAGATCGACCCGATGTGACGGTGATCGAGCATAAGAACTTCAACGAATACAGCCCTGAATTATTAGAGAAATTAAAGGGAGCCGATGGCTGCATCTGGGCGTTGGGGATTTCTCAGACACAAGTATCAAAAGAGTGAGTACAATGAATGCCCGACTTCATTAATTCGGTTTCTGGTACGATGATACTAACATCATGGAACAGGGAATATGTGAAAATCACAGTCGACTATCCATTAGCAGCAGCAAAAGCCTTTTCAGGGTTATCAGACTCCTTCAACTTCGTATATGTTTCTGGGGAAGGAGTATGTCCCACTTATACCATGATTTCTGGCTCTTGTCAAGCCAACTAACCTGAACTCAGGCGACCCAAGAACCGGGAAGGTTCACCCCATACTTCGGTCGGATAAAAGGCGAATGTGAATCTGCACTGATCGCCCTATCCAAGAAGTACCCCAGTCTGAAGCCCTACGCCGTCCGACCTGCGTTCGTAGACGCGGCTTACGACCCCCCGACACTGGCATCTGTCATGCAACGGCCGGACTATACTGTCAGCAAAAGGTTGCTCTTGGCAACTTTGGGCCCCGTCACAAGGCAGCTCTATTCCAAAGGTGTCTCGCCGACGAAGGAACTCGGGCGGTTCCTGACAGACCTGGCCAAGGGCAACGGACAGCCACTTACCGGAGAGGGAGTCAGCGGAGAGGGAAGGATTATATCGAACATTGCATTCCGGAGAGCAGCGGGGATCTAACCCCGATCTCCCAGTTTCATTTTCATGTACTACACACATATATATATACCCCACTCTATCTTAAAGTACAGAGCCAACCCCTCATACAAACCAAACTCACCTCCGATACCCATAATGCCAATCCTCCCTCGCCAGATCCTGCCTGACCTTATAAACCCCCTCCGCCTCGCCCAAAACCCCCATATCAACCTCCACCATACTCATCCCCTCCGCACACCCTTCGACCCTCCCAGCACAGCCCACAAACGGTACCGCCACCTGGGACGCACCCGCATAGCCCTCCTCCTCCTTGCCCCCAACATTGCAAAACACAACTGCCGCAGTATTCTCAAAAGCCCGACTCACAACCGCCGCATCAACAAACACCCTCTCCGACTCGGGGTTCCGCCTCTTCCCCACATCCCCAGCATCATCTAACTTCCAATAAGCAGGCACAATCACCATCTGCGCCCCCTGCATCACCAACTCCCGGAACGCCTCCGGAAACGCCAAGTCCCAACAGATGAGCAACCCGACCTTCCCCAGCGGCGTGTCGAACGCGACATGGCCCGAGTCTGTCGCGCCGCGGTCGATGAACTCCCGTTCCGGGATCCAGAGGTTCTTCTTCTCGTACCGGCCGCGGACTTCCCCCGTGGAATCGATGAAGTAGGCCACATTTAGGAACCTTTCCTGTCCGGTGACCGGGTCCGTGCGCAGTTCAGCGATGGAGCCCGGGACGATGTTGATGGCGCATTCCTTTGCGAGGGCTGCGTAGGACGAGAGATGGGTTGCGTAGTTTGCGCAGCGTTGGCGGATGCTGCGGTCGTGGGACGGATGGAAGTCTGCCAGGTGGAATTCGGGGAGGACGGCCAGGTCGGCGCCGGCGTTGGAGGCCTCGCGGATGTAGGCTTTTGCGCGGGCATGGTTGTTGTCGATGTCGTGGGGCTGGGTTGCGTTTGTGAGATGCTAGCGGGTTTCGCGAGGGACAAGGGGTGGCGGTGGACCTACCTCCGGGTGGAATTGGATAAGTGCGATCTTGACCATTTTAGGTTTCTGTTCGTTGTTTTATCTTGCTAATTTGTGTGTATGGGATGGGTTGTGATTGTTTTGTGTTGATAGTTACGGTATAGTTCTTCTGGCGTTTTATAGGCGCGTAGATTCCGCGCGGGATTCTAGATCGCCGAAGACGTATGTAACCCTATCCATGCGCCGAGGGTTTCGCATGAACCTTGATTGTTGGGGCAGATGATGTTACTTGTTGCCTGCTCCGAGGTTGTGTTAGGGTTGTCTGGGGTCCGCGGAACCCCGGAAACCACTGGTGGAGTCGTTCCGGGCGTATCTATTAACAAGATGGGGAAGGATTGGCCTTGGGTGGCGATGTTTGTTGATTAGATGGCTGGCGGTTATTTGCTTTGTACGAAGGTTCCGTGGCTAGGACTATAGTCTGGAATGTCGATACTTGGGGTGATTATTCAATATGCTGACTACAGTAGAGTAAAGGATACGGAATAGCAGGAGCAAATGTGGATTGGACATGATAGCTCGCGCATAGAATCAGGGATTAGTTCCTGAGATCCATCTGCCGTTCGGCATAGTATCGATATCTCTTCGTCGTCATAACCCGGAATCTCTTTCCAAAGTAGATGAAGACCAGATGTCCAGACAGGATTACAGTGAGGATAAGGCCGAAGGTTATGTAAAAGCCCCTCAGCCCGACACTCGCGATCCATGGGGTCAGAGCGAAGACGAAGATCGTCGAGATGAGGTTGCGGATGAAGGTCACTCCGACGAGGGAGTCGGCGATTACCTGTCATACAGGATCCAGTTAGCACGCTCAGTATTGGATTATTACATGAATATTGACCTTACATCTGTGTATGCATCTGTAAGATACGTCAGGGCGACACTGTTAGCCGGAATAGTTCCGAAGATGGCGATGCCCAATCCAACGGCCACCAGTGGCCAAGAAGATCCGTTGTTTAGTCCAATGCCGAACATGAAGAGACCGGCCGGCACGAATGGTATGAACGCAACTGTAATCCAGAGTCTCATTTCAGGCTCGAACACGCCTCGGTTTCTTTTTGCTAGATAGAGAACAAGCGAATCGCTGAGTCGTCCGGATATCAGAACTGCGATGCTGGTACCAATGAATGGAGGAAGTCCCATGAGGCCGATTTGCGAGGCGTTGAAATTGTATGGTGGCTGGGTCATGTACGATGAGAGCGTAGTCACCGAAACAGTGACGGCGGCCGTCATGGCTCCGTAAACGACGGACATGAAAAAAATGGCCGGGACGGTAAAAAGAAGAATAAAAGGTTCAATGCTGTGTCGGGCCATGCTGGCAAACGACCCCGAGGATATTGACCATAAAGCCAGCTTTTTCCAGTAAGGCTTCGCTGGGATTGAATGATCGATCCAGTGGGTCGCACGAGACCCTTGAATCTCTCCCTCTTTATGTGCTATATTGGCCTCTATTTCTGTGTCAGTCGGCGACTTCTTGTCTTCACCTTTGGGGGATGGGTTTATTTGAGTGGGAGCAACAACGGGTGGAACACCCTCGAGGGTCGGAGAGAATTTCGTTTCCTCGTAGAGGAAGACGAAGGCAACAAGACCGGCGCCCATCAGAATGACCATCCACCACCAGACCCAGCGCCAGCCTTGCGAGGTAACAATATACCCACCAGCCAGGGGGGACAGCGTAGCCCCGATCGTCATGAACCAGACATAAATGCTGTTCATGAGTCCGCGTTGGTGAACGAAGTAGACATCAGCCACCGTCATTTGCACGAGCACTTCTGCGAGAGCCCCAACCATAGAGCTCAGTATATTGGCCGACATAAGATCGGCGACCGTGTGCATTTTCGCTTGCCAAACACAGAAGGCACATTGAGCGATAGTGCTGAACACATAGACAGGTCGGCGACCGTATTTGAGAGCGAAGGGCATTAGAATCACGCCGCCGATACAAAGAGATCCGCACCCTGCGGCGTAGCTATCATTTAGGAGTTCAAAGCTGAAACCCAGCTCCTCATTTAATGGGCCCCAGGTGACAGTGGCCACGTCGATTCTAGTTGCTCAGCTCCGTGTCGTGTTTCAAGGGAGAGCTCGCAAGACACTTACATTGCGAAAACCATTATGACATAGTAGGAGACCAAGCCGAAATTAAGATGCTTACGCCATGTTGGCCAGTTCTATAGGGCCCGGTTTAGCGTCGTGTTAGCGATTGGGCTTTCGGCGAGGCTCACCAAGGGGTCGTTAGGATCATGGCTAGGTACGGGCTGCAAAATGATGTCAGTCGTTCGACCATCCTGTGGAAGTTCTGAAGGACATTAGCTGCGGATCAGAAATCGTAGCATGTTATAAGTATCAGACTCGCCTTCAAGCTGAACCGTTCCAGGTGGCCAGGATGGGTCGGACGCGTGGGCTTGGTGCGACATCTCAAAAGAAGAGTTATCTGCCGTCTCAGCTTTTTTAGATTGCTACAGACAGCACCTCTACGATGAGCCTGGAAGATGTATGTCGATTAACATAACAGTAACTATCGGGGAGACAAGACACTGATATAGGATGGCCTCTGACAGTAACGCACGTCGGACAGACCGAGACCAGCACGGACTAGGCAGATAACCCTATCCTTCGGAAAGAGTATATTTGATCCTTACCGATCGCATTGCACCTTGGTACCCTGTCAAACAATTGGCTTCCCATGCACATCGTTAGCACGGAGGAATTCCGCAGGGAGGGGGAGAAGCAAGCTTGCCCGAGAAGGGAAACTGGAAGCAAGAGCCAATGAGCTCTATTGAGGCCTCGTTCTCCTTCTTAGTGTCCCTCTTGATGTCTCCGATGCGGGGGATTCAAGCAAGATAAGGAGATAAGCTTCCAAATCCGATCAATGGCATGTTTTTGCGCCTGCCAAGGCGAAGGAAGCCGGAAGCTCTGAACTCTATTAGCCTTGCATCTGAAGTGTGGGCTTGCTGCGATTATTCAACAAAATCCAGAAACCCAGGTAGTGTATAACCATACGGAGGGCATACGGCTCTGTGGCTGTAGACGTTTAGTACCTGGAGCTTGAACCTTAAACCAAAGAAACTGTTGGTGGCATGTAGACTGGTAGTAGAGCTAATCCATCAGCTGTGTATATTGAAAATTTGAATCATTCCTCGCTGATTGCAGTCGAGAGTCCAACACATAGTTCTGCCGCTGAGTGAGTCGGTAGGGAGCAGGGTGATGAGTGCAAATGGAAGTCTAAGTGAGGCAGCCTGATGTCTCCATGTAGCGAATGAAGAGAGCCGAGAATTTCCTCGATCAACCATTGCGTCCACTCTCCTCTCAATTTATTGTCCGAGGGTTCATTCTACATTTTGCTGTACTCCTGGTGCGATATCCTCAAGCCCGACCAACATTGCCCTCAGACATGAGGATGAGCATCCGATTGACTCATCAAGCATGTGACTAGTTAGTGCATGTGGCAGAGGGTCAATACATGCTAGCAACATAGAGGTACCATGTGGATAGAAAGCCAGTAGTAAACTGTAAGTCTATTTCCAACGTCAATTGACCTTGTCCAACAGTGGATTGTCAGGTAAGATCAATACTGCCATGTTCAGCCGGATTACTCCCAGTAGTCTGGGAAAGTAAGCACTGGCCTATGTCATTCCGCAGTATAGTCTTTTGATGATAGAAAAGATCGCTGAGCTAGAAAGAAAAATCTCCAAAAGGTCCTAGACCATAGACCATACCGACATATAGCCTCCGCACATTTCATGACCTCGATAGATTCCATAGATTCCGTACAATGTTATCAGTCGCCACCGAGCCAGAGTAGGGGTGACACATTGACCTGTCGCGTAGTTAACGTTCAAGGTAGTCGAATGGCATTAATGACATAGCGGCCATAGATCATAGTGCAGCACTATGGCCTACATTTAGATTACGTCTCTCATAAGAAAGGCGAAGGTGTTGTTCGGGTCCGTCATCGAGTTCGTCTGAGAACTCTTCACTTACTGGTGATTCCTCTTCATGTTCGATCGGCATAACCCACTGCGCAACTAGTAGGTCAAGCGTATGACACTTACGATTGAATTTGCAAGGTTTAACACCTTTGCAGTTATCCTTCTGACAAAGGTGACCAAGGTAACATTTAATCGAACGACAACCTGTGCCCCTTGGGCAGATGTGCTGTCGCATGAGATACATCAAAACATTGAGACAAGCCAGTTCAATTGGACTGTGGTCAAACTCGCAACTCAGGTTCCCACATTCCCCTCCAAGGTGGTATTTGTTGCAGAGTTTGTGCCGTTTGACGCGTTGGTTATACAACTCCCATTCTTCTTGAGATGGCATGGGACAGTAGGTGTCGATTCGCTCCCCATCCTTATTGATTGCGATAGATTCCTGGGATTTTGAGTTTGCCCTGGGAAGAAAACGGGCATAGTATCCTTGTTCCCGTGGTTTGAAGGTTAAGTTCGCCGGCTGTGTTAGAGGATCATACAGCGATTTCGGGAATTGTTGATTTGGCATTACGTGGAGCTTTGCGCAGTCCTTGCCATATCGGCAGATACCCTATTTACTCCGTTAGATGGCGTTCGCTAAAATATTTTGCTAGGGTACCTTTTGGAAATGCCTGCAAATTGGTCTAGTAGTAGGAATCACATTGTTTCCGCCCACAGGCGGCGACACGGAAGTGGATGTGAATACGGCAGAAATCTCCTTCACTGGTAGGTCCAGCTTGTCATACTCGGGGTGGAAGGAGGCGGCTTTGATTAGGGTGATACGATCAGTCTTGCCACGGTAGGGGGTCAGCAAGGACAGATAACCAGCGTCGTGACAGCCAGCGAAGAAAATGCGCTTGCACTGATTATTGTCCACAAACAAGCGAAACATCTCTGAAACGATGTGAGCGTACTGGTGCACTGGTAGTCAAACTTGATCCTACCTCTGATCTTATAATCTGCACCTTCCTTCTTGTCGCCGGCGTCAATATAATCGAACAAATCCTGAGAACGAGTAAAGCTGGATGCAAACGGTGAGAGGGACCGCGCCTCGTTGCCAACTAGACCGGCGCGGGCCAAGGTTTTCGAAAGTCCTAGAATGTTGCTATATATGCGAACCATAATTCGACATTGGTCCGCCTGGCTTCCGAGTTGGTCATTAAGAAGCTCTTTGATAGAATCATTCAGAAGTTGAGCTGCTTTCGTCCCTCCTTCTGCTCCTTCTCTCATCAGGTGTTCCTTGAACTGGTTTCATTAGTACTAGTAGTCACCATTGCGATTAGGGTAGAGCTAACAAGGTAGCCATCGCCATCCACCAATACCAGCACAAATGGATTACGCTCCTGATTTCTATTAGAGCTGGTCTCTGTATGCGGCGTATTTCCTATGTCTGTGAATCCACAGGACTACCTACTTGTCCTCTAGCTAGTTTCTTATACTTCTCTCGAGCTTCTTTCTCCTCCTCATAGTCGCTTTTCAGTCGGTTGTAGTTATCCAACAAAAGATGGAATTGTTGCAAGAGGCTCTGGAGACTCTCATGGTGCTGCTGATTTTCACGCAAGACATCACCCAGGTGATCATCGAGGGCCTGGATCTCAGCGTCGCCAAGCATCTTGTGCTCCGTTATCCAAGATCAAAGAAACGAACAAAACTGATAAGCAACCATAAGCGGCTGCACTCAAAGTGGTGATCACTACAGCCCACAGCCATACAAAACAGTGACAATGCAGGAAATACGAGGTATTTGACGACTGGGAGATATGTGGATGGGAGAAGCCACGCCACAACTTACAATGGAGTAGTTGTCGGTTGATGCCCAGTTGCTTAAGGCGGTAAGCGGTGAATCGTGGCCAAGTTGTCAATGTGGGGTTGACAGTCACGGTAAGTTTTTGCTGGCCTGAGGCAGAGACTGCGGACGCCTCGGCTGAGTCTGTCCAATAGCCCAAGCCTCAACGGCATCCCCGTTCATTCCATGCAGGCTCTCATCTTTCCGGTCCCATATATTCAATCATCTATCATTTCACGTACGGATCAATTCAACTTCCTCGTATGCGTGAATGAAACACAATGAACCAGTCACGGAGCCCTGGTGCTACGGTTGTAAGGCGTGCCAAAGTGAGCCTTGATTCACCCATGCGAGATCTAAGCCTAGCATTACTCGGGAATCAGAGAAAATGCTTATCGTCGAATTCATCTACCTAGGCGTGCACTACCTGCCGACGTAAAAAGACGAAATGCGATGGCAGGCGCCCCATTTGCTCACCATGTAAAGCATTCAATTTGCCCTGTGCTTTCCAGGATGTTTTGAGGCACTCCAGTCGAACTAGCCGGTGAGTTCGAAAGCCACTTTATGTCTAATGTCTTCTGATTCAATCACTACCAGAGCATATGTTGAGGAGCTAGAGAAACGCGTTCAAGATATGGAAATGCAATTGCAAGACCGAACCCTAGATGCGCCAAGGCCAGAATTCGTATCAGAAAACAAGAGGAACTCTCCTGTCCCATCTGCGGCAGCAGCTGGCACCAGTGACAGCGCTAATTGTGAACCTAACGCTATAGAGAGTCAGCCTTATCTTACATCACCTTCTAGGACCCAGCTGGAGGAAAGTAATGCTCAGCCAAGTGCGGACGGTGAAGCTAACCAGGCTCCCTACGTCATCAATGCCGAGGGAGCAAAGATGCGATTTTTCGGTAAACATAGCCCCATGCGTTAAAGTGAATTCAGGTTGACCTCGTCTAAGGAGCATCTTCTGGTTTCTCATTACCTTCACCCCAAGCCCTAAATGCGCTAGAGGGCGAAAAACGATCTGGAGCGTGGATGACACCTAGTCAAAAAACAGCCTCTAGGTGGCAATTGTCCAGTTGGTATCCTCGCATTCTGCAAGGCGATCCTGGGCAGCGCGCTTTCCAGCAATTACCTCCCAAGCCGATCACACTCCAGCTCGTAAGCGAATACTTTGGTGGCTTCAATAGAGCGATCCCACTGTTTGATGAGGCTACGTTTACGAGATTGGTGGATAAGCAGTTTGGTTGGAACCCTGATGAAAGCCCCTCGTGGTGGGCATCCCTGAATGTTGTGCTTGCATCTGCGTACAGGGAAAGGGCACAGAAGCTACCTGATGGAAGTGAGGAGTGGCAGAAGTCAATGGGACACATCCGGAATGCTCTAAACGTGATTGTAGAATTTTTCATGCGTGCTGCGGACTTACTTGCTGTCCAAGCAATGTTGGGGCTTGCGCTCCTCTTCCAAAATACACCGAATCCTCAGCCGCTCTTCATGTTCGCTGCAGCGGCAATGCGGCTTTCACAATCCGTTGGGCTACATCGCAATCAGACATTGGGACTATCTCCATCGCAGATTGAGGAGCGGCGGAGAACGTTCTGGATCGCATTCCTCCTAGACGCGGAAATCTCTCATCGAACCGGGCGGCCACCGGTCCAGGACGTGAACGATTTCGATACCCCTCTACCTTCCAATAAGCCCCAAGACGGACTAGGAATTGTACCTGTCCGTGGTGCCCATCTTGACTACTTCCACTTGTTGTCACGATTTTCGTTAATCCAACGACACATATACGACCGTCTTTATACCACCAGCATCAAGACAAAGACCGCCCAAGATCTTATCCGACAGTTGAAGACTAGTGAGGATGACCTTCTCGAATGGCGGACCTCTTTTGGAAAGCAGTACGATTCCCAAATGTCGTTCTCTAATACGTCTGATTATCATCTTCAGCATGTCCTAAGATTGGACTTCACCTATCATTGCTGTTATGCCAAGCTTTACCAACTCTGCATTCACGCTCGACGATCAATGGCTCGACCTGCACAGGACTTAGAAGATTTCGCAGCTTTGGATAAGGAGGTAGATGATATGCTTGTGAGGTCTCTGGAATGTGCAAGGTCTGCAGTTCAACTCATAAAACATATTAGTGTATTTGGGTCCTGCTTCGCATGGTATGTGTATCTGAAATAATCATATATGGTAAATCCGATCTTATGCTAACCTTGAAAGGGGCGTCATTTACTTCCCTGCTGCTGCATCAATGACCTTGTTGTCGAACTTACTAACGAGTACCGCTCATCAACATTCCGTGACTGATCTCGCCATGGCTCAAGAAACAATAGACTTGCTTTCGAAATTATCATCTGAAGAGCCAGGCACATATGTTGATTACATACTCGAACTGTGCACCGAGCTAAAAAGTGCAGCCAAGAAGGCCATAAGTCGAGCCGAGCAAAACACCTCCCAGCAATCGATCGGACATATCAACAACAATCAACCTTCTAGAAACGAGACCGGGGAGCCGGTAAGTGGATTTTCGGTGCTGGCTGATCCCGGTTTAGTTGCACCTCTAGCCGGAGATGCGGATCCTGCCGGAAATAGTGCTATGTTACAAAACTATGACATGCCCTCGGTTGATCCAACCTTTGACTTGGCCATGAATTTTCAATGGCCTATTGCTCCTTTCTGGAATTGGGGCGACGTGGTGCCTAGCACATCTGATGAGGGTATAGGCAATGGGCGATTCTTATAGTTTTTCTCAGCATAATTCTCGAAAACGGTCTAGCCACACTTATACAGACCAACGATGAGCGATCTACTTTATACAGACGAGGACAGCCTCTAAACTACAGTTTGGTAGGGATGTAAATAATATAACATGAATCTAATGGCCTAATGTAATAATACAATGGTTGTTCATTCCTTGCAACTTCGGGCCGGCTTTCTAATGCCAGTTGATGTTCCTGTCGTGGTAGCAATTGGGTACAGGGGGACTGGTCCACCGGGGGGTCACCGCGTCTTCACCAAGCCTGACAATTGGCTTGAGCAAGGTTTGTCGTCCCCACGGCCCTTGATCAAATGTGGTCATCAATGGCGAATCCTCATCTAGGTACCCAGGCCGGCCCTTTTTCCAACCAGCGATGACTTGGAACAGGATTTCAGTAACAAACTGATCGGGTGTTGAGGGTACAAACCCAAACTTCTCAGCCGTGTTGTGAACCACGTCTAGGGGGTACAGTCCGACTTCTTCTTCCAGTGCGATGTTGTCTGCGGCAACCAAGGAACTAACAACGTGGTAAGAGCCTCCTTTGACTGCTCGGTCACGGATAGCCATCATGGCCGCAAGAGCACCCACTACACCCGTAGTCATGTCTGACACCGGCAACGGGGGTAAAACGCATTTCTCGTCCGCATATCCCAAAGACCTACCCATAACATAGGAAGAACCGGAGGCAGCATCGCCAATTTGCTGCCAACCTGGGCGTTCAGCAAAGGGACCATCCGGGCCATAACAGTTCTCATCCACATAGACAATACCCTTTCCTCGGTTTGCAGCTAATTCTAGCATATCCCGGAGTCCAAGGCCCTTTCTGTCCAAGGACCCATACCGGAATCCCTGAATGAACACGTCCACATCTGCGATAAGCTCTCGGAGACGAGTCATGTCCTCAGGCTTAGTAATGTCCAAGTCGATGGTACGCTTTCCTGCATTCAGGACAAGTTGCAAGACCTTTCATCATATAAGTGAGCTTTCCAGTTGATGCAGTAAAGGGAACAAGGCAGCTTACATTCAGATCGGGCAGTTTACTACAGTTCACTCGGATAACGTCCGCACCAAAGGCGGCGAGAGTCACACCGATAGTTGGGCCTGCGATAATGCGTACCATCTCCAGCACCTTGATCCCGGCCAATGGTCTCTGGTCACCAGGAACCTTGGGTAAGGGCTGCTGGGGTGTAGGAGCTGCATACGCCTCGTGCGTATAGTTCACATATGGATGCCTGGCGAGCTTCTTTCCCATTTCCGTGTTTCGCCATGATTCTGGCTTATAGCAAATGCTTCCACAAAGGCCATGGCGTACGTTGTGCATCTCAAGCTCATCTGGGCTCCACTGACGGACATGTTTCTGGATGTAGTCGTAATACCCGCTCGGCGAATTGAAGGTGACGTTTGTGTCGATTCCCATGGTTTCCAGAACTCGTTTAGCATTGAGAGAGCCATGAAGTTGGTACCAGACGTTCGGATCCTTGGTTTGGTAGATCGCTGTTGTCCTACTTGCGAGGCCTTTGCCGAAGCCTTGTTCCAAATCACGGTCAAATAGGGTGTTCAACTTCCCCGACAGCGCTATAGCCGAGACATCAGATCCATTGATGTGTGTAGTCGCCACCGAACCAAGCCATATTCCTGCCTGGTCAGTGTTCACGGTGACACTGCTCTCGGCCACTGGTCTACTATCGCGAAGTTCCAATAACTCGTTCCCTACCACGCCACACATCGCATGCAGAGCGGCAGCAACAATAGGTGCTTTGATGGGACCAGGAATCATGGGATCCGGCTGTCCCTCAAAATGAACGGTATCCCATACTGCTTTGTCTTGGGTAAATCCAGGCGTCTTCGAGGCTATAAATTCGAATACTCGGCGAGTGTCCTCGGGGACGGGGAGAACATCCTTATCGATGAAGGTGCCAGGGCCGTATACGTCTGTTCCTGGCGTGGTCTGGTGAGGAAAGGCCATAGTGGATATATGGTTGAGATGTATGCAACAACGAAAACTGTACAACGGATAATAGTCACAGGCGGCCACCTTCGAAGGACGCGCGTTTCTCCCTTTATATCATCCACTAGCACACTACGTTACCTAGAAAAACCGTTGGAAACAACACCCTCGGTGCCGAGGGGCTCCACTATTGGTCCACATAGAAGTACTTGCCTTGGATATGACACTAGACGTGGGCCAGAAAATGGTGACGAAAGCCTGCTGAAAAAGGCTATCCGGGTAAGCCGAGGGGCCAGGCGCTCTTTGTCTGGAATAGTCATCCTATACGGTTTGACGGCCTTTCAGATAGCGCAGTCAAGGAAACTTTCTGGGCCTCCAAAGCAAAATTTGCGACGTTTAGTTGGACGCTATAGATGTGGAACTCCGCGCCTCCGTGGCACCGGTGCAAGAATCCCGTGGCCCGTGGCGCATGTTTGCCGAGAATCATAGCTTCGACCAGCCAAGCATAAAGCAGGATCAGCGGTGGATAATGAATGCGGGGAAATGCTTCATAACAAGCTTTCATTAATCGAATGACCTGGTATTAAATCCCGAGGACTTATGGGAAGTCGCCCAAGCAGCGGTGGAATATATAGCGCGATGTCCAAGCAAGTCCCGTAGCCGGATAATCCATTCTTCACAACTATAACACCAACCCATATTGCCCGTATCGCAAGGATAACTATATTCACTGAAAGATGTTGCGTGATCCCGAAAATAGACCTGTGAAAGTGGCCAACTGCTCTGGCTACCATGGTCTGTTCATCGACTCTTAGCTGAGTTTCCAGACGCTGACTGCTTGAGTAACTAGGCGATCCAGCGTATGAGATGTACCGCCAGGCGACACTGGGTGATGTCGACTTTATCACTGGTGACTACCTTGCGGGTACGCTTCTCGATACCCCTTAGAGAGCATCGTCACTGACTAATGTGTGAACAGAAGTCAACTTAGCCAAGAATGCCGAGGCCTGGCGCGCGGGCAAACATCCGGGCTACGAGGAAACAGCCTGGCAGGGACTACAGCAAACAATCGACGTGGTTGCGGAAAAGGGTATCCGTGTTGTAATCAACGGGGGTGCCTTGGATCCTAGAGCACTTGCGTTGAAAGTCGAGGCCCTAGTAAGCAGCAACTGCGATCCCCAAGCAGGAGGCCCAACTAAATTGCTCGCTCCAGAAAGCTGAGAAGAAACTTGACATACGTGTGGCTTATGTATCGGGGGATGATCTATACCCTCAAGTCGGGCCTAATATGCCAACTACCAAAGAGGAATTGCAGCATTTGGATTCTGGAAACGCCTCCATCGTCCCATCGAGGTTGACATATGCGTTTATGAATACAACCGATGGAAAGCCGATCCCCATGACATCGGCCCATGCATACCTTGGGGCCCGTGGTATTGTCGAAGGCTTGAGGCGAGGCGCACAGATTATCATTTGTGGGCGTGTTGCGGATGCTAGTCCGGTGATTGCCACGGCCTGGTTCTGGTACAACTGGAGCGAAACGGACTACGATAGACTTGCTGGAGCACTCATTGCAGGCCATCTAATTGAATGCTCGGCATATGTCACTGGGGCAAACTTCGCTGGCTTTGATAGATATCCGGTCGAAGACCTCATTGCTCCTGGATTTCCTATTGCCGAGATCGAGAGGGACGGCACCTGCGTCATCACCAAACACCCGGGAACCCAAGGTGTGGTGAACACTGACACAGTGACATGCCAATTCCTGTATGAGTTGCAGGGCAACATCTACCTGAACAGCGATGTTAGTGCCCATATTGGTGATATCGTTGTTGAGGATGCTGGCAAGGACAGGTATTCGTTCATAACCCCCCCCCGGTTCACACAGGCCCTAACGGTAGACAGAGTCCGTGTATCCGGTATCAAAGGGTCACCACCACCTCCCACTACCAAGCTTGCGGTTTTCTATCCTGGAGGCTATGAGGCCCAACTACTTTTGAATGCAACCGGATATGCTACTGCTCAGAAGTGGGATCTCCTCGAGAAGCAACTCCGTCATTTCCTCCCTGAAAGTGCCGCTAATGACCTAGAAACATTCGAATTCCAGAGGTAAGCACACTTCTATCCACAGACCCCGGCTGGGCATATCGCTACGAGAATAAATGTCTAATTTTGTCCCAGAGTCGGAGTTCCCGACCCAAATCCATCCTCTCAGCTAAAGAGCACCACATATATACGCATCTTCATCGCAGCCCGCACAGCACAAGCGGTAGCAGCTGTCTCAAAAGCAATGGGCCAGATCTCACTAAAACACTTCTCCGGTATATATATACCCTATACCTCCATCAAATGCAGAAGCAAGCCAACTAATAAACAGGCTTACACGCATCCCTCGACGCGCGCACCGCCTTCCCACGCCCATTCCTCGCATACTATCCCGCCATAACCAACCAGTCGGACATTAACGAGAAGATCAATATTCTCGACGGGCAATCCAAAACCGCATCGTTCGACATCCCACGCCCAAGCCAATACGCACCCCTGAGACCACGCGAGAGCTACGATCCGGTAACACCAACAATATACAATGGCCCAACGAAGCAAATCCGTCTCGGCGACATCGCACTTGCTCGATCCGGCGACAAAGGCGCGAACCTCAACTTTGGCATCTTCGTCTCCAACCCAGCTCACTGGGAGTGGCTCCGGTCGTCCATGACCATCTCGCGGATGCGGGATCTCCTCGGCGATGATTGGGATGACTCGTTCTCGATCGAGAGGGTGGAGTTCCCCCAGATCCATGCGGTGCATTTTGTCATCTACGGTATCCTGGGCCGCGGAGTCAGCAGTTCCAGCCGACTGGACGGCTACGGGAAGGGATTTGCGGATTATATCCGGGACAAGGTCGTTTCAGTTCCTGTTCAGTTCGACCTGAAACTATCAACAAAACTATAAGTATGTACAGAGTATGCACACAGAATGAAACACCAGTATCTTCTTCCCATAGTACCAGAATCGAAGAAATAATAGCTATACAATCCACCTCATCACCAACAAAACTCAACACCACCCCCTTACCTACGAGTCCTTCTTCCGACTCTCAGTCACCCCCCTCCTGGCCAGCACCAACTCCTCCCTCTCCCACATCAACTCAACCGCAGCGCCCACAGGCCCCACAAACGCACTCAGCAAGCCCGTCTTCACAAAAAGCCCCAACCAGCCAACTCTTCCATACACCCCCCTCTGCGCAGCCGCATATAGACTCCCCGCCCAAACGAGCACCCCAAGCGACCCAATAATATAATCCCATCTCAGAAACGCGTGCACACCCTCCCCGACACTTCCCACAGCCCGGACAGGCTGTTCCCACGGAATCGGCACCTCAAACACCCTTCCGGGGTGCAGGGGCCCCACAAACTCCTCGTGAAAGACGCCAGGCACGAGCACAGAACTCAGGGAGATAATCCACGAGACGAGATGCGTGAGCGCCGTGTTCCCGAATGCGAAGGCGTATACCCACCTCAGGGAACTGAGGCTCTTGCGCTCGCTGGCTGGGGTGGTTCTACCTGAAGATGTGAAGGGGGCGATGACGGCGTAGATGGCCGTGAGAAGGATGGAGATGTAGGCGGGCCAGGGTTGCCAGATGGCGATGAAGATTTGTTTCAGGTCGGTGGTGATGTGTTCAGAGGTTGGGAGAATGAGGAGCTGTGTGGGGACCATGTAGCCCACGATGAAGACGAGGGGGAGCGCGTTGGTGATGAAGCGCGGGATGCGGAGGGTGTCCGGGGTTGGGTTCTTGGCTGTTTGGGAGGTTACGAGGTGGAAGAAGCAGTAGAGCGGCGCTGCGAAGGCGAAGGTGAGCACTTGGGCTGCCAGGCCGAAGATCATAGGGCTTTTTTTTTTCGCTCTGTTAGCTTTGGATATACTAAGGTGAGGGGGGTCGGGTTGGAGGAGAGACAGGGGGAGTTACAATGCTGCAATTGTCCATGCGTTGCCCTTTCGCCATGCTTCGAGGGTGATGAGCACCCAGGCTGAGCCAAATGTACCGGAGAAGGCGATGGAGTGGAGGAACAGCGATGGGTTGCTGCCGTCTGTTGTTGGCCAGAAGAAGGTCGTTAGGGTTGTCAGGAGGTGGTCGATGGGCTCGATGCCGGTGTAGACTGTGCGGAGGGGCTCATTGGTTCCTGGGAGCGCTCCGGATGCGATGTACTGCTCGCCTAGTGCGCGGAGGCCGTTTATGTCTGCGTAGTAGAAGATGGCGTAGAAGACGAAGAGGCTTAGCGAGGGGAGGAGGACTTTAGCGACAGCCATTTTGGCGGTCCTCTCCGGTTGGCGATGGATCGTGCGGGAAAGAATTGAAAGAATTGAAATGGGGGTCTTCTTCAACGGGGTAGGTTTCTGGGGTATTTATGTCTACGATATTTGTTTTCTCCAGACAATGATTGAAAACGTGAATGCATAATAGGTATGCGATCTATTTCCTAATGGGGTAGCTGTTGCGAAGGATGCGGAGGACTAACTGTCGATCATTGACGTACAACTAGGGCTTGCTTCGGTACATGTGGAGTGCCTCTGGGGTTGATACCGAGGTTTCGGAACTTACATATGACCCCGAACCAGCACAGTTTACCTACATTCAGTTTAATAGTAATCATAAAATAGAAGGATGAAAGCGCATCTCATTGTGCCGAACGCGCTAGAAGAGTACTCCACAGCCTCCGAATTCTGACATGCAGTAGACCAGCTCATTCCACCGGTACTCTGAGATATTCCAAAATCTAAGTAGACATAGTTGTCAGAGGACCAACTCTATGTATCCGCAAGTATGCTGCTACATTGATGACAATATAGTCAGTCATCACGCATTATACCCTTCCAGCGCCGCATAAGCAGCCTGTACATAATCCCCCGTTCGCTCATTTCCAACAATACTCACGCCCATCTTATTCATCGCATACGTGAAAGTCATTTGACGATCGAGATCCATGATCGCAAACGACCCTCCCCATCCCCCCCAGAAGGCCAGTTTTCCAGATGGCAGCCAGTCCACGGTACCTTGCGCGCCGATGCCGAAACCAAGTCCCCATTCGATATTTAACCCGATGACCTGGTCCGGGCCACTGGCCTGCACCTCGAAGATCTTTTCGATCGTCTCAGGGCTCAAGAAGCGTTTCCCGTCCACAGTGCCATTCTGCGTGATGATGGATAAAATGTCGTGGGCCCCACGTGCATTGGTAAAGCCAGCCATGGACCCAATACCGCTGCGACGGAAGGCAGGCTCTTTGGCAGCGTTTTGATTGGCAGGATGACCAGCCATAGCGCGATACATGATGCTGTTCGGATCTAGCACGGAGAGGTCCATCGTCATCGTTGCAGGAACCATTTCTGCGATACGATCCCATTCTTCTTCCGCCACGGGGAGGTGGAAGTCGGCATTACGGGGAACAGCAAGCTCATCGTGAATAAACTCGCCCAGCGTTTGCCCCGTTACGCGATGGACTAACTCCCCAATGAGATGCCCCTGGGAGCTAAGGTGGTACCCGTGTGCCGTGCCCGGTGTCCACCAGGGTTTCTGTTGAACTAGGTTGTCAGTCGCCAGAGGCACGTTGAGCAGGGTGGCCTCGTCAATTGGGGGATCGAAGGATGGCAGGCCAGCAGTGTGACTCATGAAGTGTCGAACCAATACGCCCTCTTTGCCGTTGACACCGAACTCCGGCCAGTATTGAATAACCGGAGCATCCGGATCCACCATGCCGCGATCGATCAGAAGCAGCATCGCCAGATTCATGACCGTCTTGGTCACGGACCAGACCGATACAATCGTATTCTCCTTCCATGGCTTGGAGCGTGCTGTGTCTGCGTAGCCGCCCCATATATCCACGACGGTCTTTCCCTTAACACTAACGCAGATGGAGGCGCCAAGCTCCTTGTCAGAGGAGATGTTCTGCTGCAAAATATCACGCACGCATGAGAACGCCGGGTCGCACGTGCCATCGACTTGGGCCATGGCTGTTAACGATGGCATGAGATATTTGAAGAGTATTTGAAGATTAGTTGAAGAAGAGAATGGATTGTGATGTATTGTTTATCTTAAATGATACTATGGCACTATTTATGCGCTTCTTTGACCTTGCTAAAAAAAAGGTGGGTTTATGTCATTCGGAACTAAAACATTTAGTGCTTATGTATACGAATTAGTGCAGACGAAGCTTCAACTCATGCTTGCCAGCTGGAGTTAACCAACCATTTCAAGAACTCGGGTATGTGTCTACAGCCGAGAACGCATAGTTGATAGCACTTAATAATAGTGAGTAATCAACAGTCTATGATCGTAGCTACTATCTTGCATAGAATCCAAGCGACCAGAAGTATGATGGTAAAACATCATGCCTAGCAGGTTGCGGAGGACATAAAGTTGACCCCCACCATGCGGGGTCTCCGGTAGATGCCGGGAGATGTTTAGTAATATTCTTTGCGGTTGACAGGGCGACATTGCTATACAGCTGCAGGGACGGGGATGTCAATCTGGGACAGATATTGGCGATTGTCATGGGTGGTAAATTCTCTACAGTAACTTCAGGTGATTAACTTCAGGTGATATGGATGACATCGTCCCACCTGTGGTGAGCGTGGATTGGTTATCATTAAATAGACGTAGAATCACAATTGTGGTTAACTCGGAGGGTATTATTGAACCCATAGGTCGATATCGATTGACGAACGTCGTTACCCTCATGGCTCCCCCCTCTCGCGCATAAAGAACTTGTACACCATACATTGCCGGAAATCAAAGCCGATCAACCCAAAGATGCCCTCCTCCGGCAGTTCAAGTAGTGGGTCTGTCGGAGATTCCCACCGCCCATCCAGAGCATAGCCCGTCGTTCGCATCAGTAAGACCATCAACGGTGAGCCGGCGCTCCACCAATGTTGAGCTCTCACGAATTGAGTCGCTTTGTCTGACGCGCCGGCCGACCGTCAGATCGACAGCTGGACCATCGCCCAGAGCTCAATGCCTACCATTTGGTGGCGGAAAATATTATCCTCCCCTGCTGCCTGACCCCGAGAAATATGTCCTAGAATTCACAGGAGAGGACCCAATGGATCCGCATAACTGGCGGATGAGCACCAAGTAGGCACACACGATGATCACTTGCTCGAGGCAATCTTCGGAACTGTCTGGATAGGGTTCTTTTGTCTCGCGCCCTAGCGTATGTCACTTTCGTGTCCTCGTTCGCAAGTGCGATCTTCTCTTCTACACTCGCCGCGACCAGTGAGTTCCACGTGAGTACGGAGGTCATGATATTAGGCGTGACTCTGTATGTTTTGGGCTTCGCCTCCGGTCCTACATTCTGGGCCCCAGCTTCGGAGCTGAGCGGCCGATGATGGTCCCTCGCTGCGGGTGCCTTTGGGGCTAGCATCTTTACCATTGGGACCGCGACAGCGAAAGATGTCCAGACGATGATGTTGACCCGGCTCTTCGCTGGGTTCTTCGACGCTAGTCCGCTGGCCCTTGTCCTGGCAGTATTCACCGGTATTTACAATAATCGTCACCGCGGCGTGGCCATCGCCATGTTTGCCATGGCCGTGTTCGTTGGGTCATTTGCATCCCCCTTCACGGGGGGCTTTATTACCATGAGTAACTTCCACTGGCGATGGACCATGTACATCGCTGCCATTATGGGTTTCTTCGGATCGGCAGTATTGCTCTGCTTCTTTCGAGAAATCCATGCGAAACAAGATGAGGTCGAGGTTGATTTCAACCACTGGATCACCGTAAACTTCAGCCGACCCTTCCACATCTGGTTCACCGAGCCTGTTGCGTTCTTGGTGACGTTGTACACGTCTTTCATCTACGGGCTGATGTATGCGTTGCTAGGGGCATATCCCGTCGTATCTCAGCAGATCCATGGGATGAACTTGGGAGTCGGGAGCCTGCCGTTCATCGGGTTAATCACTGGCGAGTTTGCGGGGGCTGCATACACCCTCCTCAGTCACCCGGCATATACGAAGAGATTAGTAGCCAATAACGATATCCCAGTGCCGGAATGGCGATTATCCCCGGTGATTGTGGGCTGAATCGCCTTCACAGTAGGTCCCTTTTGGTACGCATCTACTCTGCTCAATGGTTTCTCATGGCTTTGACCGAAATAGGTTCGGTTGGACAGGATGGACGAAGAACATCCACTGGGTAACCCCCACGGCATGCGGCGTTCTCGTGGGATTTGGTATCTATTGCATCTTGCTGCAGTGCTTCAACTATCTGATTGACTCGTATCTGCAGCTGTAAACACCCCCTTTTATCTAAGCCCGATAACGCCCAGTAAGCAAGGCCGATAGGACAGTGCCGCTTCGGTCTTCGCCGCCAACACTACTCTCCGGTCCGCCGTCGGAGGCGTGTTTTCCGCTCTTTGCACGGCAGATGTTTATCAACCTGGGTGTTCAGTGGGCTGGGACACAGTTGGGCTGTCTTGCGCCTATCATGATCCGGATTCCATTGGGATTTATCATCTGGGGCCTCACGTTGCGGCGGAAGAGCAAGTGTGCACCGAGCGCGGCGATATTCGAGGAAAAGTCGGGGTAGTCGCTGCGGGGATTCCAGATGCAAGGGGGACTGTATTGTTCTCTGCACAATGTACATACATACTTGCTCCGTCCAGTAAACACGGTAGAATTCCATGGGCAATGAAACACTGATGGCACGTTCCGGACTTGCCGTCTGGAAGAGAAGAACCGGTAAAATTTCCGCGATGCCAAGAGAATTAATCTCGCGTCCCTCGAGAAACCCGCACGGGCAAAGATAAAAAAACTGCTTGCGATAAGCTGACGAGCTGTGGACCGAAACGCAAAAATTCGGCGAGACCCGCGTGTGTCTCATGAAACCCTCCACTCCAGTACAGAATAGGCATGGTTCAACTGTTAGGGGTCCATTAGCAGAATTGCTGATTCGATCCTTGGGCCGGTCGGCAAGAGAACCGTACATCTGACTGGCATTCCAGTCCCTTAAGTGGCTCTTAGATGGTCATTGCCAAGATGACAGTCACACGAGCCACTGATAAGCACTGAGGCGAAGGATGCGTTTGCCAATTTTTTTTTCTTTTCTTTTTCGTTCTTTTTTCCTTGGGCTGGGCCCCTCCATGGGTGGAATAAAAGCCCGCCTTCTCCGCAAGGTTTCTTGAATTTTTTGTGTTAGGCGTTGCCTCATCTATACCCCAGGCTGAGACGCCTCCTCCAGTTCCGTCAACTTCAAAGCTAGAAAAGATGGGTTGGATTCATCGTACCAATCTCAAGGTGGCGCGGTCGCCAGTTGGGCGATGGTTCCGTCTGGAAAATTCCGGCCATGTAAGTCGTGGCGTTGGGTTCTTTCTCAGGTGAAAACAGCAGGCGATCTCTAACAAACATATAGCCCCAAGAACGAAAGGGAAGCTTTTTCTTTACCGAAATTCGGGCTGGATTGGCGACCTTCTTCGCTATGGCGTACATCATTAGCGTCAATTCCACCATCACCTCCGACTCAGGCGGCACATGTGTTTGTCCACCAGAGAGCTGGGCCGACAAGTGTAATTCGAACACCGAGTATCTGCTATGCGTGCAGGAAGTCAAACGGGATCTGGTCACTGCCACAGCAGCCATCGCTGCGCTGGGGACGTTCTTCATGGGTTTGCTGGCGAATTTGCCGGTAGCGTTGGCACCTGGAATGGGCCTGAACGCATACTTCGCATATACAGTGGTTGGACATCACGGATTTGGAATGATCCCATATCGCGTCGCAGTGACAGCAGTGTTTGTGGAAGGGTTTGTCTTCTTGGCCCTGACCCTCATGGGAATCCGGCAGTGGTTGGCCCGAGCATTACCAGCATCGATTAAACTGGCGACGGGTACCGGCATTGGCTTGTATTTGACCCTCATTGGATTGAGCTACAGCGCCGGAATTGGCCTGGTCACCGGCTCGACGGACACTCCGATGGAGCTTGCCGGATGTCATTCTTCCATGCGTGATCCCACCACGGGCATGTGTCCCGCGAGCGACAAGATGCGCAACCCCACCATGTGGGTCGGTATCTTCTGTGGCGGTATCCTGACGGCTATGCTGATGCTGTACCGCGTCAAGGGTGCAGTCATTATCGGTATTCTGTTGGTTTCGATCATCTCGTGGCCCCGTCCAACACCAGTGACGTATTTCCCGCACACCGAATTGGGCGACAGCAATTTCGATTTCTTCAAGCAAGTAGTAACGTTCCATCCGATTAAGCATACGCTTGTGGCGCAGGAATGGGACCTCTCCGGACATGGCACGCAGTTTGGATTGGCGTTCATTACCTTCTTGGTGAGTTGATTCCGTTATCACGTGTCGCGCAGGCGGGACTAACTGGATTGAATCAATAGTATGTCGATATTCTTGACACTACTGGTACCCTCTATTCTATGGCACGCTTCGCTGGTGCTATCGATGAGCGCACTCAGGACTTTGAGGGTAGTGCTTTCGCCTATGTATGTATAACCGTATCCGACTCTGCTACGATTGACACTGACGGATGTATATAGATGGTTGACGCGATCTGTGTCTCTATCGGCTCGCTCTTTGGCTCCCCTCCCGTGACAGCCTTCGTCGAGAGTGGTGCTGGTATCTCGGAAGGAGGTAAAACCGGTATGACCTCGTGTGTGACCGGCCTCTGCTTCTTCATCGCTGTTTTCTTTGCCCCGATTTTTGCCTCGATTCCTCCCTGGGCGACCGGGTGCACCCTCGTCATTGTCGGTGCCCTCATGTGCAAGGCTGCCGCCGAAATTAACTGGAAGTACTACGGTGATTCCATTCCAGCCTTCCTCACTATCGCGATCATGCCTTTTACCTACAGTATCGCGTACGGCTTGATTGCTGGTATCCTAAGCTACATCTGCATCAACATGCTGGTGTGGATCATTGAAAAGGCAAGCTTTGGACGGGTTGTGCCGCCGAATAAGGATGAGAAGGATGCGTGGACCTGGAAGCTCCCTGGTGGTTTCTTCCCTCCTTGGGTCAAGAGAGCTGCGAGAGGGAAAAAGAAGTTCTGGCAGCCGGATGAGGAAAATGAGGGTGTCGTGCCAGACGGGTCGGTGTCGAGCAATGACCGGGGGGAGAAGTCCGGGTTTAAGAGCAAGAGTGGTGTTGTTTGATCGGTTGAATCATAAAGCATCGTTTATCGTGTATAATAGAACATATAGTTATATATATCTAGATGGGCGTGGAGTACTGCCGCTCCACCGAGCATCCGTCCGAATTAATTTCATGCTTCATACGTCAGGACTGCTCTTTCCAAGGTTGAACGCGTTCCATAAGCTAGTCACTAATTTATTTTACAACAATCGCTTTATGTCTTAACCCAAGCTTGTCTCATAGGACTTTCGGCATCCCGTCGCAGTTGTTGGGAAGAGCCAACAAGAGTTCTCGATCAGATCCGATCGAGACAAAGAATTTGATTGGCGGAAACTCTTTTCTAGAATGGGCTGTGAGACTATTGTAAAGTATTTTCGTACGAACACGTCCCAATTTACCCCGATTGGGGATAGTCGCGTGCCAGAGCCACTTAATAGTGGTGTAACTTACGGTCATTCTAAAACGCCCTCTATGCGGGGAAGTGGCGTGCATTTTCCGCCCACCAATGACGCCGCGCGCGAATCAGGCGGGCGTCCCTGGTATCGGTTCCTTGCTCTGTGATTTCATCCCTTCATTGCTTTCTTTTCCCGCTTCCTCTCCCTTTCTCGCCCTCGAGGCCCTTTTCATCCGCCCTCATCATGCACTGATGTCTGCAGAACATCATGACAGACTCCAAACGACGGCTGGCGCCCGCGCCGCCCGGTACCCCGGGTGGCAATGATGCTCACCCCCGTAGGAAAAACGTCGGCACCGCGTGTTCGGCCTGCAAGGCTCGCAAGCTCAAGGTATTATCTCGGTCCCTGTAAGAATAGATCTCGCTACTGACACGCGTAGTGCACCGGGACCGCGCCTTGTGTGAACTGCGTCAAGAGTCGCCTCGAATGTACCCTGGATCAGACTCTCGACAAACGCCGTCGCGGAGCCTTAAAACGCAAGATCGACCAACTTGAGGAGAAAGAGGATCTTCTTTTTCGCCTGGTCAGCGTCCTCCGAGAAAGTGGCAACCGCAGCACCATTCCCTTGCTGAACTTGATCCGAAGCAATGCCTCGCTGCCGGAGATCCAACACTATCTCAACCATCAGGTGCCCGAATCGGAACTAGCCCTGATGCCCGAGCTCATCGAGGTCAGCCATGAGGTTCAGCGATTACAGGACGCGGACTCGCGCTCAGTGCGTCGGATCCTGGATGCGAAGCGATTGTCGGATCAACCGTTGTTTCAGGTCCCTGCGAAGCCCTGGACTAGCGTCGTCTCGGACAACGATTTTGTGTCGCACCTCGTCTCGCTGTGGCTTACCTGGTTCCACCCTTTCTCCAATTGGGTCGATCGTGGCCTGTTCATTCACGATATGCAAGCGGGGTTGCTGGGGGCCAAATACTGTTCGCCGTTTTTGGTCAATGCTATTCTAGCATATGCATGTGTACGTCGCCCCTCGTTTGTATCCGAGGTTATGTTCTCCCTCATAACGATCGCAGACCTACTCAGATTATCCCGAAGCGTATGCTGTTCCCGGGGATGTGTCGTCGAAAGGTGCTCACTTTTACGATGAGGCGAAGCGATTGCTGGACAAGGAGGAAGGGAGGATTAGCCTTCCCACTGTCCAAGGTATTGGTGTGCTATGGGTGCGGTAAGTGTTTCGCCACGCACTTCCGCAGAGTGATAGACTAAGAACAAACAGTGCCTGTATGATCGGTCAAGACCGCCAGGCGTGGATCTATCGAAGCCAACTGGCCTACTCAGCCAACGAACTGTCGCAAAAGCACGCAGTGCTAACATCGACAGTCAACGAAGACGAACTGCGTATGGCCCGGGTAGTTAATAACACTAGCTGGGGTTTATTCAACAGCGCCACGTAGGAACCCGGGTTACTACAACAGAGAAGAGCGACAACTGATCTCAGCCAGGACTCACTCCTTGTTATACGAGAAGACACCAACAATAAAGCCGCCGCAACAACCATCTTTCCTGCCGGTGAATCATGAATCGAACCAGGACGAGTGGCATCCATACCCAACGCCGGCGGATCGAACGCCGTCGCACACGACGTGTCTATTCAACGAGCTCTGTGCGTTGAATCTAATCGCATATGATGTCGCAGACTTTTATTTTCGCAAAGAGGCGCCTCCTTCCCGTCCAGACATGGAACAAAAGACCTCCGAATTGCATAAACGTCTCACGGAATGGGCGAATCGACTACCACAATGTCTGAAGACAGGGAAGGACACCGAAATTCCGCACATCCTATGCCTAAAGTGAGTTAGCTGGCGCCCGGAACCAAGCAGGGCAAGACCTAACCGGTGTATGTAGTATGTATTACCACACCATCCTCATCACTATCTACAATCCTCACAGACTGTCACGTGAAAACATTATGCCTTACACGAATCACGACACGATCATCCCAGCACAAGCCCTCACTATCTGTTTATCCTCCGCTCGTAGCCTCGGCCACTGGATGCAAATGTACCGAACCACGTGGGGCCTCGAACACATGCCCATCTTCCATATCCAATGGATCCAAGCGGCACTGTTTATTCTCTTAGAAAACCTACAGAAGGCCGACAACTGCGAAGCGTTCATTATTCTCAGCATTGCAGCGAAGGCATTCTCGCGACGGTTCGAGAAAGCCAAGCGCCTTCTCCGGTCGCTCCAGGAGACGGCTCGAGAGTTGAGAATCAATCTACCGGTCGAGGTAGCTCCGTTGTTCATCGAAATAGATGGTCAATGGCTATTGCGTCCGATAAGGATTAAGGAAGAGACGATCGATGCAGCAAGCGGTGACGTATAATCTATGATCGGCTATGTTAAGTATGTATGTACATGGTGTTTTGGGCCCAGGACGATACTCGTCATAAAAGATAGAGATCCTATAATGATATATACCATTCTACATTAATATTTACCTAACATAGCACGACTGTATAATTTACATTCCCAAATAGAAAAAGAAACACTACATGAACATGATGATAAGGAATCTGCGCAACTTTTGGTTTGCGATAATGCTAGTCACCTGATCCGTAATTAAAGACAGGAAAGAACTAACAAATACACAGCCGTCAACAAAAATAGAGACCGGCTATCGAGTCCCGGGCCGACCCTTCTTTTTCCGCGTCTCTTTATGTTTTTCATTCCATTTCATTTAAGTTTTCCTTCCCCCCTTCTCCTTACAGCCAGTATACTACCTACCTAAAACCCCCAAGTATAGCATCTTCTTCTTCTTCTTTGTTATGTAAATTTAGCTCATTATCAAAACAAAAGAAATATATAGCTCTATGGTATATAGCACTAGTAACAGACAGACCGGGCAATTTAGTAGAGTATATACCCAATACCCAACTAACAGTACCCAATATCTACAAAAAAAAAACCAATCAATCCACTCAAACCTTCTCACTAGCATCCGCTATCCGCGAGAAGCCCCCAAACTTCGTCCGATAATGCCACAATGCCCAGACGGCAAAGGTGGCCAGCGTCAGCGGAATGGTAACGGCCCAGTAGAGCCAGAACTTGTGGGACATCTCCCACGACTCCTTTTCGCCGGATTGGAAGTCGAAGAAGTTGGACCCGAAGATGCCCTAAGTTGCTTGTTAGGTTTGTTTGGTGTATTTGTGTGGGATAGTAAGAGAGAGAGAGAGAGAGAGAGAGAGAGAGAGAGAGAGAGAGAGAGAGAGAGAGAGAGAGAGAGACG